GTTTAGCTCAATGAAATGTACTCCATGAAAGAAAATCTACCCTATTAGTCTAAATCCTGAACATCTAGCGCTATGAAAATCAACACTTTGAACATGTAGCCCTATGAGTCAACATTGTGAACATCTAGCTTAATAAGTCAACATTTTGAACATCTAGCTCTATGAAAGTCAACATTTTGAAAATCCAGATTTATGAAGGTCAACATTTTGAACATCCAGCTCTACGAAAGTCACAGTCATGAACATATAGCTCAATAAAAGTCGTAGTTGTGAACATCTAGCTCTATAAAAGTCAAAATTGTGAATATCCAACTCTATGAAAGTCAACATTATGAACATCTAGCTCTATGAAAGACAACATAGTCACAATTATGAATATCCGACTCTATGAAAGTCAACATTGTGAACATCTAGCTCTATGAAAGACAACATAGTCACAATTTATGAATATACAACTCAATGAAAGTCAACATTGTGAACATCTAGCTCTATGAAAGACAACATAGTCACAATTATGAATATACTACTCTATGAAAGTCAACATTGTGAACATCTAGCTCTATGAAAGACAACATAGTCAAAATTATGAATATCCGACTCTATGAAAGTCAACATTGTGAACATCAAGCTCTGTGAAGGACAACATAGTGAACATCTAGCTTTAGAAAGCCTATGGTATAAGAATATGTAACTCACCCGAAGGCTGGGAATCTTCATTAGTGTCCTTATTGATCAGTTGAACAGCTGCAACATCAGTGACCAGAGCATCAATCCGGTCGGCTAAGTCATCAATATCAGCTTTAACATTCTCAGTGTCTTCATCTAGACTTGGCCCCAAGGAGTGAATACTATCAGAGATACCATTGGTTAGATGTTTTATTCGTTTCCGTCTTTTCTCAAGAACTGCTGGATCTTAAATATAATGAATGATAATTTTGTCTACATTTCTAGAAATCAAAGTAAGCTATTATTAAACTTATGCACTCATAAAAGATATATAGATTTATTTATTAAAAGATTTGTTACAAAGAATTACGAACTAAACTCCATCTTAATAGATGTAACATTTAATGCACATTTAATCACAAGTAAGTTTAATATGGGCTCAATTGACTAACCTGACAGGAAACCTTAAAATAGGTTATTTTTACTAAAAGCTGTAAGTGTGTTCCACTTTTAATGTTAACAATTTCATGATTTAGAGATATATAGAGGTAACACTGAAAGCATAAAGTGTAATGTACCACTGGAGTGCACTCAAAGTCAGAATCAAACAGCCATCGTGGTTTCTGTATTCCCACATGATCATACTTCTTTAAGTCCTAATTTTTGTTCCAATAACAATCCACTGAGAGCACAAATTACGTTAACAGCAGCAACACAATGTAAGTTCTAACCAGTCTCTATTTTTTATTGAATATGATCAAACCTTTTGTTGACTGTTCTTCTCATTCAGTCCTATTCAACCTCTTAATGTTGTCCCTTGCAGCTTCAATAGACTCCCATTTGTTAGATCAAGACTATATGCAAAGTATATATATATACAAGTTCCATGCTTTCATTTTTCATTACAAACTCCTTATCATGTTATGTTCCTCTGTTCCTCCAACACAAGCACACTGTTTCCTGATATATGTGTTTTGATATCAACATAAGTTCACCCTGTCTTCTCTTATATTACAACCCTGACTGTCTGGTAAGCACATTTATGTGATAACAATTCACACTGTGGTACATTGTGAACATTTTGTTCTCCAAAGGTATCCTTCTGAAAGTGGTTTGGCTGAAGTTTGTTATCATCTTCCCTGGTGGACATGGAAAGTGAGGGAAAAAGTCAGGCACCAACATTTTTGGGCCTCTCAAAAATAGGCCTCAGTTTGAGAGAAAATAGTATCAATTTTTAAGAATGGGGCCAAATTTTCAAAAAGTGCCCCATACACATGATTTTCAAGCAAAAGTTTATCAAGCAAACGTAAATCACTATTTGAGAATTGTTACATCGTAGTAGACAGTGAATCCTGATAATCTGTTCGCTGAGTTATGAAGCTGTTTACACCTGTCCTAATTCATTCTGGTACATTTCTTAAGTTCAAGATTATCCACTTGTTTATTAACCCAAACAATCCATCTCAGCAAAAAGTAGGGTCACGATGCATGATAACAGGGGCGGATATGGGAAATTCACAAGGGAGTTGGGTTCTTAAAATCCCTTTACAATGTTTGGGCACCCTATTAAGAAAATGTTGACCCACTTTTTCAAAGAGGCTTTTTTAAAAATTAAAGTGCCCATTTTTGCAGACACCGCCAAGGTCAATACCAGATCACAAAGGTAATGAGTATAACATTCTGAATGGAATCTTGTTTTTTAGACTTTTCACAGTTGTCTTTTGTAAAACTTTCAAAATAGGTTTATTGCATGATAGGATTGTATTCATGTATAATCATATCATTTACTTATTTTTTTTCAATTCAAATTGAAGATTATGAATCAAAATAGATCTTTAATTTCATTTTTTCTAGAAGACAGAGCTATGGAGGCTTTAACTGATATGATTGAAAATATATATAAATATTATTGGATGTTCAATGTGTTTTTCTGGTATTGCCTTATTTGTTTTCTGAGATTTTTAAATTCAAATTATCTTGGAAACAATTACTGTACTCCGGTAATTTTCGCACGCGTCTATATTTCACGCTTTTGGCGAGATTTGGAAAATTCGTGAAAAATAATAGCTGAGAAATTCAAACAGTTCTAATTCGCAATTCATAGCTGCAAAATTTCAAAAAACTGAAAATTAGCGAAATATAATATAATAGCGTCAAATATTAGTGGGAGTACAGTATACTTTCAGCAAGTGATCTTGTGTTTTGTCTTCTGGATGTTCCAGTGAGTTAAATATAAAGTGCTTTAGGGTTTAGTGATGCTTAATGATGTTCAAAAAGTTTAAAACATTAAAGGCCATTACAACCTCCTATACTATTTCAGTGAAAGTAGGTCATAGTGACCTTATATAAATCAATCAAAAATGACGAGGGAGTGCAAGTGCTGTGACAAATAAACCATGGACTTACTGTAAAGTTTATAGAAGTTGTCATGTTCCTGAGCTGTTTGCGTATTACTACCTTTCATGATGGTCATTGCTCAACATGATCACAGTTCACTGAGTCCATCCTAGGTTTATTTTAAGTAAATTGACCTTTTTAGAACTGAATCCTAAAAAGTGTTCACTGATTGAGTGATTGTGTAATATGTGTATATTATAGTGTATATTAGTAGAGCTCTTAACTATAATCATGAATCTTACTAATATACTAAGGTATATTTAGTAGTAAGAAAATACACTTATCTTGGCATGACAATTGTATTTGACATATTTCTTTTGTTGATTACCCTTCAATCAAATCAATGTTTGATTACCTCAAAAATATAACAATTGTTGAACAATTTTGTCTTGTTGGTGATGATAGTTTAAATCCTTGTTTTTCAGTTGCCTTTTTCCCCATCTTTCATTAGAATTTTATTTTTGAACACAATCATTATGGAACTTTGTGTAAGGGTAGACATATGGCTATTGTTGATTATTAGGTTCTTTTAAATGGAAACAGTAGGAGTTTATGAGACCTTTCATGTACCTCCTGCAAATCCAATTTCACAAATCAGATAATAAGGAGTTTAACTATTTAAATAATTCAGTAAGATTTGGGAATACCAGAACTAGGGATTTTACATGACAAAATGCTGCAAATGACAATTAAAGTATAACATCTGTTACAGATGGTGTCTATGTCTGTGTCAATAATCTACAAAAGGCTCATAAGCCCATTAAAAGCAGATATATACAATATTGTAGTTCAGCAGTGATATGAAAAATTGGAACAAGTGAATTTAAACTACCCTCTCTATCATTAACTAATCATTCTTAAAATGGAAAAGGGACAATTAGTTTAATTCAACTTGTGATAGGACTAGGTGACGAGGACGTTTACTATTTGTCAGATCTGTTTTTAATTCCAAATCATAACCCTTTCACTAGTTTTAGTTTTACTATGCAAACAACGAACAACTTCAACACTTTTATTTTATAATATGACTGTATAAAGTATTTATTAATAATTATTTTGAATAAAAATATTTTCAGCAGTGATACAGACTAAACATTGCAACACATTTCTGTTAGCTTGTATTTTATACACAAAGCTGTTAATAATGTCTCGAGACTTGAGTTTTAGCTCTAATCTCCAATAAATATGTTTTATAGAATGATACAAATGCATATCAATTCAATACATCATTCTCAAGACTAACTCATTTTAAAGGACAATTCACACAATTGTAAAGACAATTCACATGGTATTATGCAATCTGACCCTAATACATATAACAAACAACAAGAGCGTTCATTACCAGATTCGTATATAAGAATTATCTGATCTATTGTTGTCTTACTATGATGTCATGATTTCCATAGTAACAACAACAATCGAATTTCCATATCTAAGAATAATCTGGTAAATGTGCCCATTTCATAGCAAAGTAGAAAAACGCATGCACTAGACTGATTTATAAAATTTCTACATGTTCTATTCAATTCAGCATAAGGCAAATACATTCAATTTTATAATAAACGCAAGTCAGCACAAAAATTCACAAACCAATCACAATGCACAATAAAGTGTATTTATAAATGGGCTCTATCATTTGGTTGGAACTCATTGCTCTTTCCCATTATTCTAATACTTTTGTTCAAAACAATTTATTGCATTTAATTTATTTATACATCTTTGAGTTTGCACATGATAGCTTATAATTAGTAAATACATGTTATACAAAGATTATTACATCTTGAAGTCAATGATGTCTAATTTTAAATGGAATGTACTACCTACTGAGTAAGCTGATTTAATGTGTAATCATGAGTTAGCTGACAAAATGTGTCACCATGAAGTAGCTTACATAATGTGTCACCATGAAGTAGCTGACATAATATGTCACCATGAAGTAGCTGACATAATGTGTCACCATGAAGTAGCTGACATAATGTGTCACCATGAAGTAGCTGACATAATGCGTCACCATAAAATAATTGACATAATATGTCATCATGAAATAGCTGACACAATGTGTCATTCCAAAATACCAGACACAATGTCATGATTGACACACTATAACATTCTGGTAATAATACTGCATAAAGTCATAGTGTAAATTACAGTAAATATTAAAATTAAAATGCAGCATATATTTCTTAGTATTTCTATTGATAACTACCTAATCATGAATAGTGAAACCTATAATTATCAGTACCGTTACAATGATATAGTTATGCGCTGGCTTTGATGATAGATAATTCAGATAATATTCTTGTCTGTGCTTTATCCTATAGGCTTTACTGCAATCTCATTACATGAACACAGGAATCAATAACAAAATTTACAAATAAAATACTTAAAGCTATATATAACAAATTACTCATATTGTTATTTGCAATGACACAGTTAAAATATCATGCAATATAACACTTTGTAATTTGTAACTTAAGAGCAAATACGTTATGCTATTCAACAAGCACTATTATCTAATAACAGGTCACTATTGATCTCAAAAATGTGGCTATTATTTGGGTGACATAATTAGTTGAGACATTAAATGAAACAAACCTACAAAATTGCCAGAACATAATCTGGCAAGTGAGGGTCTTTGTAGACATGTTTCATCATAAGCAATGATATAATCACCCAAATTACAACCAAAATAACATATAAATCAATAACTAATTAATAAAATGAACAAATATAACTATTAATAACAAAAGCATGCAGTTTCCTAAATGAATATTCAACTGTTTTAGTTCATTAAGGTAACACCCCTATCAAAAATACATTGTCTCTAAATCCTGTCACCCCTTACGTTTTGATGTAGAACTATTCAACAGTCCAAAACATGAGGGGTGACAAACAGGTATTGTCCAACAAATTCACTCCATGCATAAAGTTTACTTTGTAGTACCTGAAGATTCAACATAGAGTTCTGAGAAACACTCTGCTTCTCCTTCAGAATTTATTGCTTTACATCGGTATTCCGCGTCATCATCGATTGTTGCACTTTGTATGGTCAATGAAAAGGTGTCCCCATCACTGTCCGTAACATAATGTCTACTACGCTTGAGTTTAGTACCATCTTTAAACCACTGGACATCAGGTGTTGGTTCACCACAAACCTTTACCTCTAGTTTACATACGTCCCCCTCTTGAACCTTAATAGGTTCTGAGGGAAGTTTTTCAGTAAATATTGGCTCTGAGAGTTTCATTTGAGGCTCAGGCATAGCCTCAGAGTCAACTTCTCGTATTTTTAACCTGTCTTTTTCCCGCTGCAATTCAGATAAAGACTGAGTAGACTGGATGTTAGAGCTGCCATTTAGTGCAGGTTTTAGATTGCCGTTAGATAGAGATTTCTGGAGTGAAGCCATGCGGCCCAACGCCCGGATTGCATTGCCGGTTTTCTGGAAATACAACACCATGCGTCATGCCCCAAAGAAAACATGCAGAAATTCAAAGCCTCACATGTACATTACATTGATAGATATTTGTTTAAAATAAGCTTCAAGAGAAAATTTGTAAAAATATTGTGAATCAGAATTTACGATTATCAATTATCATGCCAAAATGTTGCGACAGTTATTTAAATCATGGATTTTTTGGAGATGATTAAATTTTAAAAATTGTGATTTCCATTGTTTCCAAGACAAAGAATCATTTCTTGAAATATCACAAACTTGAACTTGGAACATTGTCCAATATTTGGCAAATACATCATTGAGAAACTCAATAAAAGCAAAGCAACATATTTTGGAAGCATTTGCAATCATAACGTAGTGTACATGTACTAAACAATTACATATAAAAAACTATTTATAAAACAAACAAAATGTCTTCAAAAAATCTTTCCAATCTTACATAAAAACTAGCACCTAAGCAAAACATATGGCCAAAACATATTGCCAAATGATGTCAACACAGCACTTCACACAGTGTACAAATCAGATTAATTTGAACATTATGTCATGCTCTATTCACATCATTTGAGAGAATCAAATTCCACTCTCTATTCTGCAAAATGTGATAAATGATGGAGATATTACTGGTTGTCAATCATAATTAATGGGTGGAATAGGGTTTGCATGAAAAATGAACAAACTTCAAACCAGAAAATAAATAATAACAAATAAATAATCATCTTAATATATAAAAAATAAAACTGATCAACAAAACAAAATACAGGTTGATTGAGATGTCACGAGAAAATCATTGAATTTCAAATTGTAAGCAGTTTTCAATGTCACATCCCAATCACTCTATGCATAAAGAATACCAAAAGTCAACACAAAAGGCAAAGCTAACAAGCGATATCTCACTAAAAATGGAGGGGAAAAATTATGTAATGCTTTTTTTACTTATATTTAACATATAAATAACATATAAATACTGGAAATTATATTTCTCATGGTACAAATAAAACAATTTAAAATTACAGAAAATGAGAGTTTAGAGTTTTACAGGACAATGTAATCGACCAATCAGTGACTAACCTGCCATTTTCTGCGAGCTAGGAAAGCTTTGAGTTTCTTTGTACTAAGTTTGTTGGATTTCATGGTTTTCGTATCTTGAGCTAACCAAGGGTGTCCCAAAGCATCATCAGCCTTCATTCTTTCTCTGTAAACAATCAAGATTTCAATAAAACATAATTTCTTTTGAAATGAAAGAACTTTATTACTGAGGATTAGATTTTTAGAACAGAACTTACTTTGTACTTTTGACTAGAAGTTTTTCTATAAAATCTTTAGCGTCCTGACTGAGTTCATCAAACTGTTCATCCTCAAAGTCAAACTGTGCCTTGGTGACATTAACAAATGTTTCAGATGGATTGTCCCCCATGAAGGGTGATAAACCAGACAACCTGAAACACAATAGACAAATTAAATATCAATGTATTTTGCAATAAATCTGATGTCATTGATTCAAAGAACAAGACTGGATTAGCCATTTCATTGTATATTAGTTCTGTTTATTTGAAAATTAAGGAATACACTGAGGTCGCAGGTCAATGTCAACAGTAATTGTTGATTGTTCAAAGGTTCACTAAATGGTAAAATTATAGACCTCTTAATGGCCAATCAGAACCGAGCATTTAGAATTAATATTAATATGCATTAATTTATCAAAAATAATGCAGCTCTCCCCAATATCTTATTCCCTAGCCTTTCAAACTATAAGAGCTGGCAAAACAGGGTGTTGATGTGGCAGACTAAACTACAGTACTTACAAGACATAACAGATGACTCCTACACTCCACATATCAGTGGCAGGTCCAACTTCTTCATAATTGATCACTTCAGGGGCGACAAACTCAGGTGTACCAAACATAACCCTTAAATTCTCTTTAGGGTCATATTTCCTAGCAAGGCCAAAGTCTATAAGCTTTATCTGAGTACTGTTCTTATTGACACAGAGAACATTTTCAGGTTTTAAGTCCAGATGTAAAACACTTTGAGTGTGCATGTATTTAACACCTTCGCAAATCTGGCGGATGTAATGAACGCCATCTTTTTCTGTGATAAAGTCATTCTCGATGATTCGTTCAAATAGTTCACCTCCCCCAATACTGGAAATAGAGTAATTATTATTAATCGGGAAGGGTAACTTAATCTTGGCCATGCATAAATTACACTAACAAGCATACAATAAATAATCACAGAAAATTTATTTATTTATGCCAAACATTGAAATGTAGCAAGTAAATGACAAATTGGCAAGGCAACTGCTTTTTCAGCCACATGTAAGTAGCAATTGTAGACCTTCTTGTAATGTATGTAGATGCTCTACTTACTGCTCCATGACAAGGGCCAGCTCTCTCCTGGTCTCAAAGGCATCCTTCAGCAACAGTAGCTTGGGATGATGTAGAAGGTTCATCAACTCAATCTCTTGTCTGACATCCTCCTTGTTAGTGGTTGCCTTTAGTTTAATCAGTTTAGCTGCATACTCCTTTCCAGTAGACTTTTCAATGCACCGGTGGACATTGCCAAATCTACCCCTAGAAAAGTTTGAATTCCAAATTATTCATTAAACCATCAACCAATCATTGAGAATTAGTCAAGCTCTCAGTTATCTTCACACAATAACATAAATGCTTGATTGAAAATAATTAGTAACATACCTTTTTCCACTTGGTCGAGTTGGTTGAAAAGAAGCATGTAATTTCATGAGGAACCCCTAATATATCTCTTTGAGACTTGGTCCCTCTTCTAAGAATTTGAACTATATTATAAAATCTGTTGACAAAAATTTCCAGATTAATCTTATGTGTATGGATTTTGCCAAGAGAACATTTCTACTTACTTTCCTATTTCCTCTTTCAGTTCATAAAAATCTGTAAGTTTTCTTTCTTTTGAAATCTCAACCTCTTGTGGCTCAAATGGCAAGGAATCTGTAACACAGAGAATATATATTGGATAAAGGATATCATATACAAGACATTTCCATTGGCGAAGATAGATGACAACATTGCGATACTATGACATGGCACTGACATTCCAGTATGGGGGTGTTACAGAGTTTCATAAATTGGGATTGAGCAATCTAAAGCAACAGGCTTCTACATCGAAAAATTCAAACTTCATGCATCATGCATGTAAATCTATCCTATATGATATTTGCAATATTATCAAATTCAAAATATCGAAACTTAATGGAGCTGCATGTATTGTTTTCTGTGTGATTAAGTTAAATGTAGTAAGCAAATATTAAGTAAAGGAAGAACTGAGTTATAGAAACAATTGATATATGAAGTAGAGTTACACACAACTAGCAATCTACGTATCTAGGTACATCTACAATTCTACATCAATGCTAGTTACTGAATCTAAAGAGGAGTTAATAGTTATGATTTTAACAAATAAAAAAACAATCTAAATTCAATATCATATGCGAGACTATGATAAGTTTTTAAAACTATGTTAAGGTATGCTTCTTTATATAAACACTGAACAAATGATTTTCTATTTATCATACACTACATTATACTTTTTCCTTGTGAACTATAATTAATCGTTTATTATTGCATTAAATGCCGATTTTATGGTTTCAGCAGAATCACCATCACCGTAGCAATGCTTCAACTTTTCAACCACTTAAATACCACCAAAATAGTGCAATCATAACATATAAAGCATAATAAAAAATAATGCATCTTATTTATTTATTTTATTTATTATATGAGGATTTTGATTGTAAATATTACAATTTCAGCACACATACAGTAAAACACAAGCTAAGGAAGCAAATAATCCAACAAGCATTATTTGTGGGAATCACATAAGTGAAATACTTCCCCATTTCATGACATGCAATTAATGAACACTGATTCCCATCCAGCTCCAAATTTCAGCCGCAAGTTTCACCATCTTCCAAAAATAGCAGTTATTCTGGCTTTTAAACCCCTGAATTTAAGATATAACTGATTCCTGTAAAGAGCTGTTATTCTGCCTTTTTGCACTTAAGAGATATGTGATTCCTGATAACTATTCTGTTTCTTATATCCCTTAATTTGAGGGAAAAGTGATTATTGATATAATGTCTGGGGAAAGAGATGTGGTAACTAATTCACACAAAAACTGCAATTACATTTGACAATTATGGGTAAAGGACAGTTATCAGATAGTTAAGCACACAAGTAGTATGATATTAAAGGAAGAAATATTAGGCAAGATTATAAGGTTGGTCTGCAGTCACCATGGTTACCTTCCACTTTTTTAGACTTCTTTCTTGTAATTACAGCCTGGTCTTTCTTTTTGGCTAAAATAACACACATCACCATAACAACCAAGCCCACTATAAACAGTTGCAACAATTTCAGATTTAAATCTTTTTTCTTCTCTCCAAATCACCTGATATTCATATTCAGGATACTGCACAACTCTTCTTCATTTGTTGGTATGGTTACAAATATGTCAATTCCAACCCCCTAGTGCTACTTCTTTAAATGAATTAAGCAACCTGACTTAACTATATCCATCTAGTATCATAATGGAAGCAATTTATAAAGATTGCTACACTCCCTCATCCATAAAATGTTTGTCCCCGATTTTGATCAAAATGGACACATTACCAAGCTGGATTTTACATTATAAATGTCTCAACAATTATGTTGTAAGACTAGTGAATTCTCATCAACAAAATTCTAAAGTAACATTTACCTGTATCATCATCCAATGGTGCACCATCAGATGTGAAGACTTTATCTGATGTTTTACAAGGTTCACTGAAACCATGTTTGTTCTCCGCGCTAACTCTAAACAGATACTCTGTTTCAGGCTCTAAGTTCTTTACATTGTATGTAGTGTGCTGAAATAAAAGATTCTCTATAGTTAACCAGTTTATTTATGAGGGAAGAGATGCTCATTTACTCATGGTAGGAAGAGCATTCATTTGGATCAAAAAAACTCTTTATCATTTATACTTGTATTTGAAGAAATACCTCAACAGAACATGATATAAGGCATAACTTTCCAAACATATCTCACTTAAACCCAAATAAGTATTTGATAAAATAAGAAACATATTTGAACATATATCTCAATACATTGGGTTCATACCTCACACTTTGAAGTGAGTGTCTTCCATTTCATATCCTTCACTTTACACAGTTCCACTCTGTAGCAAAGGACCTGGGAGCCCCCATCATAGGCAGGGCCATACCAGCAAAGGTTGGTGCTAGTTGTTGTTGTATTGGAGGCAAAGGGAGATCCTGCAGGTGGCTCTGGAACATCTATAATAGAAACAAATAGGTTAACATAAGTGCCAATACAAGCTTTAATTCCACAACCTTCCATGGCAGTTATGACTGGGATGATAAGAATAAGAAAGTTGCTTCTATTTGGGTCGTGGTTGTGCTTCCATTTCCTCATGCTATCTTATATTCTGCTAATATTGATCTTCATACTTTTATTCTCCATCATGCTTTCTTTCTTTTATTTTCCTCATGGTGACAGTCACATTATATATGCTTTTTAAACATAACAGTGAATATTCCATAAATACATTTGAGAACTAACCTTCCACTGTAACAGAGACATCAGCACTATCCTCTCCTAGTGAGTTCTGTACTTTTACTGTGTATTGACCACTGTCCTCTTGAGCAGCCTTTTTCACAGTCAAACTGCTGGTCTCACGCATAGTCTCTATATTCACTAGATCATCTAGAAAACAAAATAAACATGGAAATTACCCCTTAGTATGAGAATCTATCATCTGATGCATTTGAATGGTTTCATACAAACAAAGGCGTATGAGCATTTGGATAGCAATAGGTTATTTCTATTACACCTAAAATGTACTCAATAGTTCATTTATGACAAGCAAAGATCCGACAGTAGCACTCTGATGTGTAACTCACTGGACATTTTTTATAATAATATTTTATTATATTGAAAAGATCTTGATGATATGCTTGTACCTGACTGTAGAGTAGTTCTATTCTTCAACCATGTCACAGTAGGCCTTGGGTCCCCACTGAATCCACACTGAAGGTGTATCTTGGTTCCTTTTAATACAGCCAGGTCTTCTGGTCTGGCCATAATCTTTGGAGCCACTGCATCATCTCCCATCACCTCGGAGCTGTTAGTGGTGCCCCCTGTCTCTTCATCTGACCCCAATTCTGAAATGACAATTATACATGGGTAAGATGAGAATGGATATTGTGATTTTCTCAAATCACTGGAGATGTTTCTTTTGCTGTATTTATTCTCCAATCACCATTGGTACCAAATGCTGAATTACTTCATTCTATGAGCATACTAAGAATCTTGATGAAGCAAGATGTTATGTTCCCCTTAATTCAGAATGTACAATATATATTTTCTACACAATTCAAACATCTCAGACAGGTAGCATATAACAAGTAAAAAAAATCATACTATACACATTATACAAGCCAAGTGACCCAAATAATCATTCACTTACCATCCACCATGAGATCACATGTTTCCTGTACACTGCCAGATTCATTGGTTGCTTTACATATATACTCTCCCTCATCTTCCAGGAATGACTCACTAATTTCTAGCTTGGCTACTTCGTTAATGTAACTCATATGGAAATACTTTGATTCCTGAAAATCAATTTTAAGTCATTACTATCTTTTACTTCACAAATTTCTGCCATGAAAATGTGTCTGGCAAAGTACACATTTTGATAAATTGATTAATATTATATTGTATATATAATAAATATTGTACATATTACTATTTGCCCAAATATTGTTTTTAACAATATTTACCTTGATTTCCTTTTTTCCAAAGAACCAGGTCACATCTGGCGGTGGTATTCCATTAACCTTGCACTCAAATGTTACACTACTCCCCTCTTTTACAACTTCATCCCTCGGTCTGCTTATAAATTCTGGCTTCTTCTTTGTCTTAACTTTATTCTTCAATACATTTCTGAAGTCTAGCTGTACAGCGTTAGTGTCTCTCTCCTCAGATGCTGTCTTAGATGGTGATGACCTTGTACTGCTTGCTGTGCTGCCAATGCTGCTGCCATTCTCACTGATCTCGCTTGTGGCTGAAATGGAAATAAATTCTTAAACTAGAGTACTCTCCAGGTAAAACAAGTTTGGCTCACATGTTACATCCAATAAAGTGTTACTTATCGCAAATTCAAAATGTTAACTTTAGACCTGTTCCAAGTCCCCCAATCAGTAATAAAGTTGATTAGAAAGCAATCGCATTGTTTCTAATTATTTGCCAGTACAGAAGCCAAAATGAAGTAATTAAGTTATCTTAGACCCTTGGTCATAGACCCATTCTGCCTCAAGAATCACAACTCTACTTACATCTGACTCTAACATCGCAAGATTGTTGAGTAGAGCCAGTTTCATTGGTTGCTACACATATGTATTCCCCTGCATCCTCAGGTAGTGTCTCATCCAACTCCAAATGAGCAACAGTCTTATCATAGCTCATCGTGAAATCACCCTCCTAAGAGAATAATAAAGACAATATATCGATTTATCGTATGATCTGTAAAATGAAGCCCTCTGATTGGTCAGTTCTTGTGCTGTACCAATCTGTATTGCTACTGAGGTTGTCCCGGTTGATCATCTCCGTTGCAATACAGAAAATATTGATATGGAGGAGACAATCTCACTTCGTCTCGTTCCAATACAAAATTTCTCGAACAAAATATATCCTGTATTGCACTTCAAATCATTCAATAACTTATAATATCTATACCTATAGCAACTGAAAATTGTACTTGTACCATTCAACAATACAACCGTGTTAAACTAAAACTTAATAAACAGTTACGTTTGATTGCAATTTAAACATTGTGCTCAAATATAAATAACAATCAGAGTTTTTGAGTACCCTGTTAACTGTTATGTTACCCTGCGTATCTGGTGCTCACCTTCAGCTCCTCTTTACCAAAGTACCACTTTATATCAGGTTCAGGAATGCCTTCAACTTTACACTCAAGGATGAGAACATCACCATCGTTGACTCGTACATCTTCCAAATTTGTGAGAAACTCAGGCTTTTTCTTGGTTTTTACATGACGTTTGAGCATGTGGCGGAAGTCCAATTGTTCTGGTTCTTTCTCCTGCGGTTCTGATTCCGTACTCTCCCCTGATGTTAGGATCTTTAATCCAGGTCTGGAAAAAGGAGAAATTGATTTATAATTATACAAGATATTTTGATGAAGGCATACATGCAGTTCTTGAACATTATCCATTCATTCTATTTATTTCAATTTTTTGTACATACAAGGAATTTCTTAAATTCAAACAAGTATTGAACATGATTATGATTTCCTTTATTATAGAGAATGATTTCATCAGAAATGCCATCTTACTTTGATTTAAGGAGATCTCTGAAATCAACTGGTCCATCCTGTAAAGGTCTCACTTTCAGGCCAAAACTGCACTTATCTGATCCCTCAAAGTTAGTAGCTACACAGGCATAGCGACCCTCATCTGTGGAGAGACAGTGGGGAATCTCCAGTGTGTATGTGTCAATACCATCATCATAGATCTAGAATATATCCCATATAAGGTTCAAAATATTTAGATTATCCAGAGGCTATAAAATGTCCACCCAAAACCTTTTTATAAAGCAAGTGACAAAGGATATCAAACCTATATCCATTAAAGAGTGCAGATGGTAAAAACACTAGTTATTAAGGAGGTTAGGTGCAAGAAAAGAGTTATGGCTCACCTTAATTCTTGCGCTATCTTCTACAGGTTTGCCATCCTTGGACCATACCATAGTTGCCATAGGAGCAGCATCTACTTGACAGGTGAACTTGGCACATGTCCCTTCATCGATATCCAGTGAGCGTGGCTTGCGTATGAACTCTGGTGAAACTGTTTCTTCAAATCCATCTGAAAGGAGAATGAACAATGTTGGAGTAGGATGAAATAAACTTTATGTTATTGCTATTCTTCCTAATTATCTTTTGTGAAATGAAGTTAGTTTTTGCTTAATCAGGAATGGTTTAAGGTGGGCCTAGTCCTATGCATAAGACAACTTTATGTATTTTTTGTATGAGAGTCAGTTTGCAAGTCTTCATTTACAAAGTCACAATTTGACAGTTCCTTTGATATGGCCTACCTTAAGGTCACAATTTGACAGTTCCTTTGATATGGCCTACCATAAAACTTTAAGCATAATACTGCATTGAACAAATTCATATGTACTAACAAGACCTCATCATATCATGATCATTTAAGGATCCTAGTAGATCATACCACCAAGTTAGCAAGTACACATAGTCTCTTGTAATAATGGTGGTGCAGCCAGGCAAACTCATGGTATAATATGGTCTGGTTAATACATGTAAAATCTTACATACATAGGGGCCAACCCCAGTTACCAGACACATACTTCTGAAGTGTGATTCAAAAAACCAAAAACATTGGTATAGTCTAAAGTTTTCTTCCAACAATATGTCCAGTGACAAAGGTATGTCTTCTATAAATGCACTGTTTATGTAGATTTTAAATCATACGAAGATGTTACTCCTACCATCTTGAGAACCAGACTCAGGCACTGGTGGGTTGCTGTTTATATCTGTCTTAGCTGGAGATACTTTGGTGGGCATTTGTTTTGTGGGTGTTGTTTTGGTGGGTGTTGGTTTGGTGGGTGCTGGGGTGGGTGCACTTTCTTCTTCTATAAACACATGCATTCATGCAATTTAAATCCCAAATGAACTCCTATAATAATATCTATCGCATTCTATTGTACATTGTAAAATACTGACATTTTAGTGAATCCTAATTGTAGGTTATTGAGATTTTACAATTTACTATAGATTGAATAACAAAATCATTAATAAAAACAAATAGAAATCCCAACAAAAACCTAAATTACACTATGAACGATGTCATGTCAAACATGCAATTATTCAACATACATGTACAGTATGTGCCAAAATAAACAAACATATGGGCCAACAAAGACATTAAAAACTTCTAGATAGTTAATGCACATTCTATACAAGCTAATATTTTATATGTATCTACATATGCCATTTCTGACTCTGCCTGCCCACTAAACCCAGACTGGAGCTTTGGACCAAGATAACCATAGTCATAGTTCCAGCCAATCCCGTTATGTCCTACCTTTAACAATAAGTTTACATGCAGTATCAACATCCCCTACATCATTGTAGACCTCACACACCCAACTACCAGCATCCTCAGGGAACACTTCCTCCATCTGAAGCTTATATGTATCCCCTTGGCTAGTTAGCTTATATATGTCAGAGCTCTTCTTGATCTCTTTATTGTTGTGCAGCCAGATTACATCCAAAGGAGCAGTGCCTTTAAGGGAAACATCTCATGCAATATTGCAACATGCAAGTCTAACATTGTCAGGGCACACAGGGTTCAACGTTCAAACTAATACCAGAGGCCTGTTTCTCATAATTAGGAAAATTATTTTTTCACTTTTGAGATTTTGGTCCCTGGTTTGAATAAATTACAATAATACTATTCACTATTCACATACTATGTAAACATTACTCAGTTTAGCATTTTAAACAAAGTAGCACACACAAAACTAAAACTGTATTTTGTTAGATAACAAAGGTATGAAATGGCCACATGTATAGTACTACCAAAAATGTTCACTTTAACAACTCTGGATGCCATTAATTGGTTGCAAGTTGCCACACCACCACACAACACAAGGATGCCCTGCTCACCTCCTATCCTGACTATCAACTCTACTGTTGTCCCATCCATCACTTCATATTCAGGTTCGAACTCTTGAATAAAATATGGGGCTCTTTTCTCCGGTCCTTTCTTCTTAGCCTTAGCTTTTTCTATAAAGATCATGCAATTTGTAATAGAATATGCAAAATTAAAAACTTTTATATTAACCATGACAAACTTTCATGCACTTTCAAAGATTGTCATTTACAAATATATTTGATTGACAATGTTTGATAATTCATGCACGTTTTACCTCAGATCGGTACCATCAAATCCTATTTCAATTTCAATGTATTGCTCAAAGGAACACATCTACCATATCAAATTAAAAGACCTTGAAGAATCATATATAACAAATCAGTTAGATATCTACATGTATGAAACATTGGACACTACACATTCACATTAAACAAACAGCAGTTCATACACATACAAAAATAAGATAAGTTATCTATAAAATAATATTACAGACAATTTTGAATTTCCGTAATCAATAATAAATGTCTATATTTTCATCTTTCATGTTATTTTCTTATTTTTCTTTGTGCCAAGAAAGCCCATGTCTTAACTTTTCAGTTTGAGTACATTTCAACATCTATTGAGTATATACTCAAGAAATGCTCAAAATAAATGTAATGGCTTGTAAGTACAATATAAGAAAATAATGTAAAGAAATTGAACATTAAACCTATAATAATAATATCCTATAAGACATACAATATATCCAGCAAACACAACTTATTACATGGGTACATACCTTCTACAACTATGTGAGAAGAGGTTTTGACCTCTCCAGCAGAGTTTGAAATTATGCAACAGTATTCTCCTGAATCCTCTGGAAAAACTTCCATTATCTCAAGTTTTGCAACAGTCCCATCATAGGATATCTTGAAATCTTCAGTTGATTTGATTGGTTTACCATCATGCATCCATTTTACATCTGGCTTGGGATCACCTGAATCAAAATACACAATGTTTACTGAATTTACTGAATGATTACCAAATAAGGACACAATGTTCACTGGCTTAAGACACAATGTTTACTGCTGAAGTACACAATGTTTACCAAATAAAGACACAATGTCACTCAATCAGATAACAATGATATTTTATGACTTACCAGTTACATTACACTCCAAGATGACAGTATCACCATCAGTGACAGTTTGATCAGAGAGGGTCCCTTCAAGGGTAGGTGGTACCCCTTTCTTCTTAACCTCTGCAAGATAAAATGCAAGAAATAGTGTCATTGTTAAGTTTCAGGTAACTGATACTCCTTGAAGACAGTACATATCCATGTTCCATTGAATTGTTATAAACTATAATCCATCACACATATGTAAAGTTAATCCAAAGTTTATCATTATTTGAGCTTTAAAAAAGTATATTACAGTCAACAGCTCAAGTATTAAATGGTATGTAGCACTAGCATCATCAAAGTAGTATCATATTTGTGTTCAGTGATTTCAACCTAAGCACATGAGAGTAAAGTAATCCTAATCTCAATGAATGCATCATTTCTTGTGCTATCTGGGCTTACTGTACTCTTCAATGTTTCGACACTTTCATCAATAAATTGTTTCCTTTATCAGTTTATATCTATCTATACAACACAAGGCTGACCAGATGATTTACAATTTTGTGTTTTTCTCCTAAGCGGCTGAATTTATTACTCATATGGACATTGGGGATTTAAAGTAGCTACACTGAATTATTAGCTCGTAACACTTCCCTCTGATAATCACAAATGAGTTTTGAATCTGATGAGATCTCAATGATATCAATATGTAGGTTTGAATGCGGGAATTATTTCAAGTTGAGTATATATGAAGCTGTTGCAAAAGGATACGTAAAATTATTTTCAAGTGTGTGCTAGTCTATTTTCAAAACCTCAACTGGGTGCATGCAGCACCTACTAGCTTCAATGCTGGTTGAACACTGCCTTACCTTCGACTTTGACCCGGCAATACGTCCTATTTTCACCAACATTATTTATCGCAAGACATTCATATTTCCCAGCATCCTCAGTCAGTATTTCATTTATGACTAGTTTTGCAGTTTTTCCATCGAAAGTTTGTTTGAAATCAGTTGATGATTTCAATATGTTGCCATCTTTATACCACTTCATTGTTGGCTCTGGGGTACCTTGAAGGGAATGATCATATCGTGAACATTTGTTTATTACACTTACGTCTACAGGGTACGATATTCAATATCTTTAATGAAGGATTCCATGGTACTGGACCTCTGCATTGAAACTTAGAACATATGTAATAAGGTAGCATTTCTGGAACAGAATTGGTCACATCAATTTTCTGTGTTTTCCTCCAAATTAGACAATGAACATGCTGATTCTCTCCAAACATCAAAAAATTCAAACTTGAATTACACGAATAATTATTCCAGCCATTCAAAGAGTAAACATGGAAATTATTGACAAAATAGATTCTAAGATCACAACTAACCTATTGCCGTACATTCCAGTGTGACGCTCTCTCCCTCTTTTACTGTCATATGGGAGAGTTTACTTTCAAACTCAGGGGCAACTTTCTTTACTCGGCTTGACATCTTAGGCTTTGGCTTTTCTACAACAAAACCAACAGTTTTGTAATGATCAATCAAGCTAATATGAACATCATACAATATATATGAACATCATACATATGAACAATTACCCAAGTTATTGTTTTGATGTTGCCACAACATCAAAAATTTTGTGCTTCACTGCTAATTTTTGCTAGATCTTTTCCTTTTCCAAAAACCTTTGGGATCCCTTCCAAACAAACCTTTATCTGACACTTTGAAGTTGACTTCAGTACATTATATGTAACGCATTTAATCAACCTTGAGGATAAAGCTTTGTTGCGTTTTTAAAATGAACTTAATTTAATTCGACCTTGTGCATTTCCTGTTACCATGGGCTTTCAAAAGCCCATGCTGTTACCTCCTTATTCAAGAATATCATCCAAGAATGAAATGATCAACTTGGCAAGTTTATCACCCATTTAAAGAGTGAGGGACAAATTTGACTGCTCTTGCAAAGTGCAAAACTATACAACTTCAGTGTATGCTAAATACTATGCTGATTTATTACCTATGTACAGGGTAACCATAGTACTCTATGATGGGGGTTTGGTGGAAAAGGCATGGATGGATGGTACGCCACCACATCCAACCCCAAGAGGAGGAGCTGTGGATGCAATAATGCCAACTTACCATATACTTCTAACTTTGCCTTCTGTTCATCTTTCCCAGAGTCATTAGTGATGGTACACAGATACTCTCCTTGGTCCTCTATGCTGCAATCCTTGATCTCAAGGAAGTGGTAGTCTCTCAACTCATATAACTGAAATTCAAACAAGAAAATACCTCAAAATCTTCTCTGTCAAGGTCTCTGAAAATTTGATTTAATTTGCAGTTTTAGTTTTTATCAGTTGAAGTTATCCTCAGTTGATGTGTCTTTTTTTGTTTTTTACTTTGATTACAGCAAACTTGTATTATTGGCCACATGGTTGGTTGAAAGTGGACATATTACAATGATTGTGGGGGGGGGGGGGAGAACACCGAATCCAAACTGTCCAAAAAAAACTTGGAGACTATTACAATAAAGCAATAGTTCCCTTTCCTCATTTACAACATTTCTTTTCAAAGCGGAAGTACTGGTACATTTCACATACCATCAAACTAAATAAATATTTATTGGCAACTCAGGTCAAAAATCAATTGAGATAATTGGTACAATGCAAAAACACTCTTTGGCATCATATAGTATCAATAATAAAAAGGGCAAAATATATCAAAATATTTGAACAAATGATAAGAATCAGTCAATTCTAATGATATGTTATGCTTCACTTTTTCAGTATGAATCACTTAAATATCAACTGGCTGTAAAAATTTGATGTTGAAAATGTCACGATTCATAATATTTACATACCCCTTGGGGCGTTAATTTTATGTACTGTACTGTATAAAAAATTGTCAAATGAAATTTAAAATGGAATAGAATAGTTACGCATAGTCATAAATATTTCATTATTCAGACATATCTAAAACAAATTGTCCAACTCAGACCACATAAAAACAGAAGTCAGCAATATGAAAGTAAAAAAATTTCTTTGCCTGTTTATCAAGTCATTAATTACCATGAGGAAGGGATATCCTCACAAAATTCAATTCACAAAGGAACCAAAGTAGCTCTAAATGTTATCTAATGCAGCTGCTGCATTGTTGTACATTGTAGATGAAACCCACATTCCAGAGATTTCTATGATTCTTAGGGTCTAGAGTGAATAAGACCAACAATGAAAATAGTCCAGGTATGGAATTCAATCAGATCTCTTTTCTTGGTTTCTATTGAGAATTTTGTAGCATTTCTTGAATCCAATCATAACATCTTTAGAAAACTAACATTCCTGGTTTCTATAGGTTCATGACTGATTGCAGATAACACAAAATAAACCACTGATTTCTTCACAAGTTTTCCTCTTTTCCAAAAGTATGACGTAAAATCTGTCTAAGTGGACACCTCTCTCTAGTGAACACCTGTATCTAGTGAACATTTTCTTGATGCTTATTCTATTCACTTCTGTATAAAATACTCTCTCTGAAGTGAACACCTAGCTACAGTGAACACATTCATGTGCCTCTATAGGTGTTCACAATATGCAGGTTTTACTGTATTAGCTGTGGGCAGTAGTGTACAAGCAGACAAAACTCACCTTATATTTATCACTTTCTTCTATGACATTCCCTCCTTTAGACCATTGTATGGTAGGTGTAGGTGAGCCTTCAAATGATGCCTTAAACTTTGCAGCTTGGTCTTCATCAACAAACTGTCTTCTTGGCTTTATAATAAACTCAGGCTTTTGAGCCCTGCAATAGAAAACAATGAATTCTTGGTTTTATAATTAACTCAGGCTTTTGAGCCCTGCAATAGAAAACAATGAATTCTTGGCTTTATAATAAACTCAGGCTTTTGAGCCCTACAATAGAAAACAATGAATTCACATTAAAATACAAGTTAAAACTTACTTGTCAAGACTTAGTATCAACCTAAACAGAACAGTAAGACTCTGGAATTGTGAACATTTCTATATAATGTGAACACGTCATTTTTACTAATGCTGCTATTAAGTACCTCCTCAATTTAAACAGCTTGAATAGCGAGTGAACACCTCGAGTTGAATTAATCCCAAAGTTGTTCAAATCAGACTGGGTTTGCTAAAGTGGAATATTACATTAGCATGGAATTCTTTAAGTTAAATTTCAAAGGTCAGCAACTTTTTGTAATTTTGCCAAAATGTCAATTCAAGATCAAATTCTTTCATTGGGAAAAGGTGAAACCTAATATCTTAAATGTATCAAATTAATACACTGCCGCACTACTTTAATTGAGTATGAAATTAAAAATTAAAACAAAAGATAAATGTTTTTGTAGACCAAACCACAACAGAATGTTAACCATGTAGGTGTCATTCAAGGATCCACTTTCTAGAGAGATATCACTCCACATAATTTATGAACTCGTTATTCTCATATATTATCTTAATTGTTTTTCTATTTCCTCTGTGTTTTACCAGCCTTTGCTAAAGTTTTTTTTCTCCACAGGCCATGAACTAATTCTACTTACATCTTGACTCTCCTTGTTCTACTAATATCTAAGTAAACCTTTAGCATTGTTTAAGCCGATATAATAATGAAAATAATCTACAAACAACCAAATACCTTTAATATCAAAATCAGGATTGCATTTAACATGGTGAAGACACATTACTTACTAACAATTACATGTTTTATTTAAAATATACCGGTACCTTAAATTTCTGTGTAAATCCATAAATGCGTCTCAAGTCCTTATATCTCCTATTTAAATATTATATTCCTTATCACAACATCCCCTGTGTTCTATTATTAATCACACTCTATGGAGTTTCATATACAAATCTATTCTAAGTTTTGAATTAAGATTTTCCAGTTGATATATCACCAGATATCACCAGCCAATACTGAATACATACTGGTATATTGTAAAACATGTCGATTTTATTTATATGTGAAATTCGCTAAAATTAATTGCATGTCCGAGTTATGTCATAAATTAATAATTCTACAATTGAAATCAATTTTGACAAATTGAAATACAGAAAAAACAAAAGATACATAATGATAAAAATTCAGAATTCGTAAAATACAACATGTATGACTTTAACATGTTTTACTGTACAATGACTTAATGTGGTCAGCAAGCCAAGCCAGTCAGGCTTAACATACCAGAGACATTATACACAGGGACATGGTTAACCAGTTATTGTTATCCCTATATTTGCATACATAGTTGACTTTTGAAGGCTATTTAGTACATATTTATTAAATCTGTACTATAAAAGTCATGTTAAGGTGGGACATAACCTGATATAAAGACTTGTCAATGTGCATGTTTAAATGTTAAATGTTCTCATGCCACCCAGTCTACCTTAATGCCATTAACCTACATTGTTGAGATATTGCTCATTTAGGCAGATAATCATTTCTTTAATTCATCAGTGACAGTTATATATTTGTTTATTCCCATCAGTTTGTTTTTCTTAATTCATTTTCTTTTTTGATTTTGTCATTTTTATGTACAACTTAAAATAGTTAACATTCATTTCAAATTTTAACTGCCACAAAGGGCCATAAAACTTGAAAGATCCATTTAAGCATGTTAAGATCTTTGTAAAACCTACTGTGACAGTCAGACAGTAGTGTGGTGGCTTGTTGATTAGTAGAGTGGGTGTTAATATACAAAAATATGTATCATGATTTTCACTTATTATGACAGAATCAAGCAAAGTTTTTTTAAGAGAGAAAATCAGAAAAGCATGTTTATGTTAGATAAAATGTTTTGTAATCAATATGTTTTGTACCAAATGTCCTAAGTTGGTTGAAATAAATACATAAATAGTAAATAACATTATGTGCCAAATTGGAGTCAGAGATACCTTACTGGGGTGGTCTCACCCTCAGCAAGAGATCAGCTATGTCTACACTCTTCGTTATTAGAGATAATTCTATGATTTAACGTATATCCAATAGGAATATCAGGTCAGAATGAGAAAATCATAGAAGTAAATTCTCTGCCAAATGTAGCAAACATTTATTTCACATTGTATAGACAATAAAATCCTTTAATGAGATCATTAAGAACAGGATAAATTGTAAAATCACCTGTGGTATTCAGAGGGTATACCTAAATGATGGTCATTCAGGGTATGATGGTATTATTATACTGGGTAGGTATGGGTGAAATGATGGGTGAAATATCTGCTGGGAATCATGCTGATCATCTCACTATTTCTGTGTAACTTATTTACATACTGAGCTGTCAATCATTATAGCCAATCATCTTTGCTTATTAACAAAACTGAACTTTTGCTTCAAGCAAGAGATAAAATTAATTGTGCATATGATAAAAGGAATGCATGCTGTTTGTCTCTAGCAACTTGCAATTTGGTGAAAAGTAATACACAAAATTAAGTATATGTATGCATCCCGTATGCATATATGGTAGAACCCAATATAATATCAAACACCCCTTTCCCTTCTTGCCGCACCTATTTGTCAGAAAGTATATGGTATGGGAGGAGCAACCAAGTGTGCACAACTCAACTGTTTTATAAATAAACTAGATGTGAATAGAAATAATCTTGATTTACGTCATTAACTGGTTAAAATGGTTCCGAAAATTGTTTATCAACTTTGAAAATTTAATTTTTTTTGAAAATGTGACTTCTAGTTCGGGTTGATTCCTCATAGACCCCATGTTACAAAATCACAAAAAGTGAAATAACTTTTCTTGTATTGGACAGATAACATTTTCTTTTACTGGACATATTTTAATTTGCATAACTATTAGATACATATGGGTTATATAAATTGAACCACTAAAACAGATGTAATTTAAGTTAAAGGGAACTTTCTACTATACCCGCCATGTTATCTGACCCAAACGAGCCACCTGGTGGCGAAACTGGTAACTACCTACTCGCATCTGCGTTATTGAAATGCCTGGATACCAGATGAGACTCATTGCCTGGTAGTATCGGGACCCCAATCATACCATGAGCTGCTTGGTGGTATCATTGAAAGTTATGAACACTTATAATATTGTACAGAGAAACACTACCAAAGTCATCATCCAGCAATCACCTTACATTATAAGACCTGTGTATAAAACTGGAGTATACAATAAATTGTCTTATTTCATAAAAATCTATGGTTTTATAGACATTGCAAATCTTGTATTGCAATTAAAAATAGAATAGCCCATTTTGATTATGTATGAAAGTTTGATTAAAATGGTTCAATTAATGAAACCCATTCCTAAAACAAAGTTGCAACCACATGAAAATGAACAATTATATTTCCTAATTGGATTTTAACAAATCATTGAGTTGCTAAATATTACAATTGAAGTGATAATTATGTTTAATATTGATGGATCCCATGAGAAAATTGTGCTAGAAAATCTCTGATGTTTCCAATTATGACCATCTGGGTGGGAAAAGTAGCATTGCATGCCATGTTTATTCATAATTTGTTAAATCTTAATAACTATGTAGATTAATTAATGAAAGAGGCAAACTCGCACATTAGATCTGTCTAACATATATCATGCTTGTAGCCAGGATTTGCCAAGGGGGGTTCAGTTTTCTAAAATTTCCAGGGGGGGTTCACATTTGACAATTTTGGCCCAAATATGGCTAAAATCACTTGAGAAGTGCGCTCAAAATGGTGAAAAACTGCATGATTTTGAAATAATTTTTGGCCAGGGTGGGGGGGGGGTTGCCCGAACTCTGCGAACCCCCCCTGGCTACGGGCCTGCATGTTTATTCATAATTTGTTAAATCTTAATTACAATGTAGATAAATTAATGAAAGAGGCAAGCTCGCACATTAGATCTATCTAACATAGTTATACAAAAATATGTAAAGTCATAAAATATATCTTACCTGACTTTACTGGTTTTGCTGCTACCTCTGCCATATTTACTTGCACCTGAAACACATAATAACAATGATTATTTTCACTTTTTACACAATTTACACATTTTCTCTAATGGCCTAGTCACATAGCCCGGCCGATGTCCGGCATTGGTAGAGCTCGATGGATTTTTTTGGTGCCACTGAGCTCTCCTCATCGGAAGCAGAGCTCGGTGACGTGAACGGACTCCGTCCGGACATCTTCATGCGACCGACCGAACACCGGCCGGTGACCGTACGGAGTCTGTCTCAAAATGGCAGTTTTTTTCTGCCGATGTGGCAGCAACTACCGGCCGGAGGTCGGCCGGACATCGGAAGGAATACGGCCGGTACCCGAGCAGGTAACAGGACACCGTGCGATCGCCGGCCGGGTTGTTAACGGGCTTTGAACAGTGACCGGCCGATGCTCTGTCCCACATCGGCCGGAGCTCGGTCGGAGCTCGGCCGCTGTCCGTTAAAAAACCTCGTCCTCTGGTTGTCTCAGATGCACGGGACACCGGCCGATACTCGGCCGTGCACGGCCGACGTGTTTTCCGATGTGGTTACGATGGGGCTGCGATGACATGATGAGGGAGCTCGGTGAGAGCCCGGTGAAATTTAACTCCGAAGTTAAAATTTCACCGAGCTACCACCGATGCTGTTTTAAGCAACAAACGCCACGGATGTCCGGCCGGTGTTCGGCCGAGTTCGGTGAAAATTGCATCGCTGGCTCATCGTAACCTCATCGGCCGGGCTATGTGACTAGGCCATAACTGCCCCTAACAACCTTTTTACTCACATGATCAACCTTAAAATTAATCCATTATACCTTAGAACAATAATACCTGGTGTCAACACTAATTATATGCTTAATTACAGGTGACATGTAGCAATAATAATGTTGACAAAGGTAAATAACTCTTCATCTGGTATTGTTTTCATAGTTAAAAAGTGACAAGAAATAAGAACCAATCTAAATATTGAACTATATTTTGACAGATTTTGAAACCATATTGCAATACAGATTTAGATATTCATTTATGTATATAGTATATTATTGCGAACAAAACATTTTATATAATCATTTTTCCATATGCAACAAATCTATCATTCCATTTTCTTTTAAATGCAATCAAGTGCTGCCACCTTTATATGGATGCTAAGTTGAAATCTACAATAAATAGTACAATCATTTAGACTTTGTGACATGTGAACTTTTTTTGACTTCATTTCCATTTTGTTGTTTTGACGACATTAGACCATCCTTACATTATTCTAATTAATGTTTTATCTATTCATATGCCTTATCATTTTCATTTAAAGAGATATATAGCGATATGACACAACAAGTCATGAGTTAAAGGACATATGCCTTATGTATTTTCAAATTAAAATACCACATCATTAAAGATATCAGTTTTCTCTTAAAATTGTAAATGACTAAAAAAAAACAGACCATACCACTAAAGAATCAAGCCTCTAAGAAGAAACATAAGAAAGACAAGTAGACATTACAGCATTCTAAATATAAGGGGAATGAGTGGTTCTACTTGAGACTGTGTGACACTTGGAGTCCTGATGTAATGTAAGGGTCTCATGAGTGTCAGATTCGATTTCTTTAAATAATAATTATTTATCAGGCATTGCAAGTTTCCTCCTAAAATGGAAACTGAATGAATCATGTGACACATATATGGGTATGGCGGAGGAGGGGGGATATTGAGATGTGGGATGTAAAGGTCTCTAAAAATTAAGGGATGAAAGAGTTATGGACCTCTATAGATACCCATTCTCTTTCACATAGATGCACTTTTTATTGTATTCTGTATTATCAGATCAATATTTCAACAAAAAGCAAAATTTAATCATGAATTTCTGTACCTAAACCGGAATTTCGTCCATTGCTGTTCAGCACAAAAGAAGAATATTCATAAAGATTTTTTCAAAGCAGTCTCCAAATGAAAAACGTTATTCTTGTATCAAATTTAAACGGTATAATTTAAACTTTCTTTTCATGAAAAAGGAGCATAAAAGATGAAATGATTTAGATATAATCATATCAACAATTTGAATAGCTCACCACACCTTCATACACATATTAACAATATACATGAATGGTAAAATATCTCTTTTCCTCAATGAATTGTCTTTGTTTAATGTACAGCATGATTCACAGTATAAGCAGATATTAAAATAAAATGTTAAATATAGATATTAAGAGTGCCCCTTGAAATGAAACACTTTCAATATTGTTTGAAAAATATTATTACGATAATTGGTGTACCATGCCTTGAATACTTTTAAATATGTGTTAAATGCTTTATAATATGTTTCTTATTTGCACTTACTCATGATTCATGAATTTGACATGTTACAAAATGAAACTATTGTGTCATATCTGATCCTAATACATTTTTCATATGACTGATAAAGACTAGCTTAGCAAAGTGTATGAACAGGCAAAAATTCGAAAATGGCAAATTCCATGTATGATCGACTTTGATAGACGAAAACAAGAAATTGAGAATTCATGAAGACTGTACGCATGAAATCAACTTCCAGTGCTTAGTAATATACCTAGAATGTTACCAGATCATTCTCACCTAATGAACCATGCAACTTACCGTATGATGTGGTTAGAACCAGACCAGAACGTGCAAAACCTCAGAAACCAATACTAAGAACATGATTTCAAAATTAATTTCTTGTAGAAACATAGCAGTGGGAAAGAATCAAAAGGACTTACATCAGGACTAAATAAACTATTTGGTAATTGAATTGAGTTGAGTGTTTTGATTACACAGGTGTAATTAATGTTCAAAGACTGTTATGTGAGAAAATATTTAGACTGTTAAGCCGGTTCTATGATTTCATTCATTAAGCCCATTGTTCTTTTAAGCCTATTGGTCACAGGATTTAGAAACAGGAACAGCATTAAACAAAGTGTGAAACAATCCTAAATATTATGTTAATGTCCTCTCCAAACAAATCTGAGCATTGTGTATGGTTTATAGGGGTTCTGTTTTTTTGTTTCTCAAATGTTGTCCAGTTGTGCTATCTCAATACACATTAAACTTAGTAATATATTTACTAGGGGGGGGGGGTAAACTCCATCTTCATCTGTTGCAAAAATTGATTTTTAAAAGGGAAATACTTTTTAGTTGGAAAGAAATCTATATAAATGTTCGTTACACTTTTTATGATGGGGGTCATTCAGAAATATGATTTATTACGTTGTGGGCAACATAGAAATATTGACCCGGTCCCTTTTTATACATATACATGTATACAGCTAGTGTTAAAGCATAACTATTCTTGTCTTTTATAAGTAACTGATCATTTTATTTCATATAAATATATATCGTCAAATATCTGATTTAAAACTTTACCTATTTACAAGTTTATATACATAAATACAAAAAACAGTGTTAAATAATCATAAATACAATAATGATATCTGAGATCTGATGAGTGGAATAGTCGAAGAATTATTTTATCTGAAGTATTTGTATAATCTAAATCTGACATAACTATTATAAGATGTGTGTAATCTCTGTATGTTAAAAGTGGTGGGAACGGGGAACGGTGTTTCAAAGATATCTTCAAATAGCCACTTAAACTTATCATTTTGTCAAATAATATTTCAGATCTTAAGACGCTCATGATAAGTTTAAATAATCAAAGATAAGCTGCCACTACATTGAATGATAATTGATGTAAAGTAGACCCCCACTTTGTTTGATTCACTACAAATAGGTTAAATTCAAGCGTTCGTTTTCACTTTTCCAATTATCAAATTCGGAAACCTTTTTAGATAATCCAGAGTTAAAATCTTTCAAAACCTCTAGAATTTTACAATTGCGTTCAATCTCTGACATGAGACTGGTGTCGTCATCGGAAACAATACTAGATATGTCACTGACAGCCATGGCAGATGATGAAGAGTCTGTTCTTAAATTATGTCCTATGTCATTGACTGTGACAGCTATGGCAGATGACGTAGAATCAGTTCTTAAATTGTTTTCTGGTTGAGCATCTTCAAATGTCTCGGGTACACTGGTATTATCCAACGAGTGACTTTCAGCAATATGGGGAGCAGTAAGTGTCCTGTCACATTGCTCTACACGTGTTAACATGCCACTAGTGACTGAAGTCTCACCATTTATTACATCCAAAATGGTGTCATCTTCACCATTGACTTCTTGGAACACGTCATCTATGAAATCTGATGTTTCAGTGTCTGTACAAAAATCACTGTCAATTTCTGCATCTCGCTCACTCGTCAACTTGGCACTTGTTTCGGATTCACGCTCAGCATCAACAATAGATGGCTCTGGACAGTTCATACTGTCTGCAACTGTCTCGTTAATTGAAGCTAAAAGTGCATCAGCATTGAGCTCCATGGAGGTACTATAAGTGTCATCACTGTTGATGTCAGTATCAACTTGCTGTTGACTGTCAATGGTATATTGTTCATCAGCATCATTTGATTCAATGTCATTAATAGCGCCAGACAGAACTGCATCAATCTCTGTACATGTGTTAGTAAGTTCATCATGGTCGTCATTCGTGTCAGTTGTATTTGTATCCAAATTTTTAGGCACTTCTTCTTCAATATCATTGTTACATTTTGCAATATTATCCATTAACATATGATGATTCTCCATCTTTTTCACAATTTTAGAAAGTTCAGAAAAATCTCTTGGCAATGAAAGTCTCTTTGAGTAATTCCAACTTTTTCGGCTCGTTAAAGAGTTATATTTTCGGAACGCTCTGTGGAAGACTGGTGAATCTGGGGCCCTTTCTGGGTCAGAGTCACATTGTTCACTCCCTGAGGTCGATCTCTGATCAACTAGGGGTACCCTCGCTGAAACTGCTTCTAGATCCTGGTCATTTACCCAGTCAGAGGCTTTCTTATGATGCACCAGGTTATCGGCCAGCATGAGGGATCCTCTTGGGGATCCATGATGTTTGGAGGTATCCATGTTCATTGAGGCACGCTTGAGGAAACGTAGGGTGGAGGTAGAGTACATAGGGGTAGATGGCCGCTGATCTTCCTCTCCGATAGATTCAAAGCTAGAGTCTTTCGAATCAACACTGATATATGAATCCCGTGACATCTCAGATTTCAGAGTATTTGACGAAAACTCCTTAGTGCGAATAAAGTCAGACTCTGCGCCATAGCTCTTTCCATTGAGGCTTAAAGATTTAACTCTAAGTTTGTATATTGTATTTGTCTTTAGGTATTTTACCTGATGTGACAGTTGCTGACAATGAGAGGCTGACATAGTCCATGTATCTTGACCATAGGCCTGATATTCAACCCTATAAGCCATCACTCCATGCTCACGATAATTGAATGGTTTATTCCATTTTAATGTCACAGTAGTAGCCGTTACATCTACGATAGTAACATTACAAGGGGGATTCGGTTTTATTTTCCTAAGGAAACTATTCCTTCCTTCTGATCCCCTTGTAAAATATCCATCTTCTAATGTGAAATCGTCTAATTTTCCATTAGCAGCTCCCATGTTGGAAAATAGTTCCTTTACACACGCTGTCCTATATGATACTAAATTCAATAGCTGCTTTGTTAAAGTTTCCTTTATGAATGAATATCTTCAAGTTCACTGAGTGTCCTTTAAGATCTCATGTTAATTCAAATTCAAGCCAGGCACTTTGGTTTAATTCAAATTAAATTAAAGGCAGCCTCCTGGCAATGTTTGTCCCATGTATCTGTGTATATAATCAGCTCATGTTTTCACTGGCCTTCTGTTCCAGTCAATATGTTGAAAATGAATGGCAAAATTTTTTCACCTGAACTAATTGAGTCCATTCAAGGTTTTATTGTAGCCGACTGACATGTGGCTGCAGTCTGCTTGCCCTAAACGCGCCAGTTGGTTAAATAGTTGTGTGGTCAGCTTAAATGTCTCCTTTTTCTTTCACGCTATTTTAATGTTCAATTATTATAAGTTTTTATTCCAAGTGTTTGTGTTCATTCGGTGTATTATGACTGCTGATTATTTCTAGTTCGCTTCCACTATAATGTGTAAGATTTCCTCTACAGTTGCTATGACCTTTTACCTTTAGTCTACAGTATCAGGTGACTTGAAAAAAGTCTCACATCCGTGGTTAGAAAACTATTTTAATAATGTCTAGTATTTCATAAACTTTTTCCCTTTTATGACTTTCTTCTTGGCTCCTATTTTGACATGCTATTAATTCCACACTTCACCACATAATGGTGGATAACAACTCTTTGGTATGTATGTCTCAACTCCAGGTTTCTATATATACTTAAACCCTTTATCCGATTATACAATATTTAGATAGGTCAGTCCAACCACAATTATGTGGGTAATTAGGTCCAAACTTGATGCAACAACTATCTTGCTCAATATGAGGCTTAAGTAAAGTGTGAAAGTTTAGCTTAGTTAGCGTCTAATTTCTCTGCTTCAAAGTTATATTGGCTTGTGTCCAGAGGCAGAATATTGATGAGTCTCTATAATCACATCTATATCATTTCTTTCTTTTTTATACTGAGCTAATTGGTCAATTTTTTGTTTTGTTTTTATTTGGCTTGGTGCAGTAATTATGGCTTCTTCAGTCCCTTTGTTCTAATTAGTGAATGTTTGATTTTGAGATTATATTATATTTTTACTGATATCCTGTATTAAGTCAATAATGTAATTCTTTAAGCTTTTTTAAACACAAATTCAAATATTGTTTATATATTGACTTATTTATTTTATTAGCTCGCCTTATGCCACAAATCAATGTTGATATTTTAAAAACACTTTTAATGAGATTTTTGTACTTGTTTTAAGGTGAATATAATCATCTGTCATTAGTCTTTCCCTTTTCAATAAATCCACATATTTTAGGGTTTATGGTCATAAATAACTAAGTTAGTCATTTCCTCATCCCAGGGACCTTTGAGGTGACCTCTGACAGTACCTGACAAGTCAACAATTTGAATACACCTATCACTACTCTTCTCTCAAGTTAATACACTTCAGGTATTTTGATGAGTTTTTTAAATTGAGATATTCTATTTCTCGAATGTTCTCACAGGATTCTTATTTGAAGTGGTCTAGGTTTGAACAGAGTAAACAAACAGCATTTCGCAAGCAATTGGTTTTTTAGTTGAAATTCATTGTTCACTCAACGTATGTAAACATATAGTGGTGTAGGTACCAATAAAAGGGGTGTACTATTCAATCTTATGTTTACTCAACTTTCAACAATTCTCTTTTCACCATTTGAACTAATGGGAACAACCTCCTTATAACATACTTTTTAATGCATGATAATGAAAAACTTGATATTGTGTGTGGCAGAACATACAATTCAATACTCTTCTAACAAAATGTTTTCAAATTCTTAGAAGTTTACATAGCTGATGACTCATTTAACTTTAGTTATGTAGTTAATTCAACACAAAAGTTTCTTTAAAGAACATAATTTTGAAATATTCTTTGAAAAAATAAACTTTTGAATTTTGAAAATATGATCAATACTCCAATACAGAGCACTCATTGCTTTTATGTGGCAAGAAATACGTTCAGAAAGTCAAGATGCCTAGTACTTGAATTACAACATTTCTATTTATAAACATAATATCAACCTAAAAAATAAGAACTTTGCAGTTGAACAGAAGCTTGAGAGCAGAAAATAAATGTCATTTTCCATTTGCATGATAAATTACTTAAGATCCCGAGTTGAATCTAATCCCATTTGAAGCATCTACACTGTGATAGAATTAGTGCACTTGTGAACAATACAACCTATTAATTGCGTTAAAATATGACAAATACAGTCCTAATGTTTCAGACACCTCAAGAACACAATCAGCTCATTTAATTAAACACAGCATCTGACACCACTGAGCAAAACCATATATTCATTTGAGATCAGATTATTATTCAAACACTACATGGTTAAAGAGTAACCATAGCCTACTACAGCTGTGTGTAATTTAGGTCAGAAATCTATAGAGATGTGAGGTTATTTGAAGTATTTTGTTACGACAAAAAAATATTGAGGTCGGTTCTATGGTTATTGTGGGATTGTGGTCCACTGTTTTTTCCTGTTTTATGTTTAATTTGAATTAAATTGAAAAGCAATCCTATGCCCACTACTCTACGATGCCCACTAGTGTACTAGGTGTACATCAGATGATGGTATTGTGGTATGTTTTCCAATGATTCTGGAAATGGTTCACTTGCCACAAGAAGACACAAGGAAAAAACAAAACTATCATCTTTCTATCTACATGTACATTACCTACATATATATAGGGTATATATAGAGGGGTGGGGGCATGTGTCATAGGGCAGGGAGAATGTATGGCAGCCTAAGACAGGCAACAAATATTGTATTGCAGGCCATGGGGCATATACTGTACTCAATCAATGCAATGGAGGGCATATATCATATGGCAGGGGACTTAAAGTGTAGGGCAGGGGGTGTGTCGCATAGACTAGGGCACTGCTATATGGTGTAGGGTGGGCGCATTCATCTAGGCCCGCATCTAGTAAAGGGGGCATGTACTTGTATTGTATTGTGTATGTCAAAGGGCATCTTAGCAGGGAAAATATTGTAGAAATTCCATCTGTTCGTTGAGACAATAGTACATCTAAACAGCCAAGAGCTGACACTAATAATAACTTTTTGAGATAATCAAAGATGTGTTAGCAGCGCAGGTGTCTAATTGGGGACTGCTCATAGAATACATTAATAGCATTAACCAATGGAAAAGAATACGAAATACCAAACATTAAAGGATACATTATTTCAACAGAAATTGTAATTCATCCAATTTATGTTCTATTACAACTCAGTTTGTGGCCCATCTGTGGTCAGATTAATCGGCTGTCATTATTTTGCAACATGTTTTGCAATTGGTTCTTTTGGGGGAGATTAATGTAATAAACTGTTTGTTTGAAGACCCCGTACCCCCCTCTCTACTTTCCTCTCTGGCTATGAGGGAAATGGAAACAGGGGGTAAGGGGGGGGGGCGTTGTATGTAAATGGTCTTGATGAGAAATGAGAAACTACAGATGTAATATAGGAATCCGGTACTTAAACTCATTTTCCCAAAGTTTAATGCTTGACATTTCCCAGGTTACCTGAGGCATTGAGCATAGTGTATAATATACATGTAACTTAAAAGACACTTAACATTTTGGTAATTAAGAGCCCCAGTTGGCCTTTGTAGTTATGAATCCACTTATGAGTCCAATTTATTTTACTATTAGTTTCTTGATTCTGCAAATATGTTCTTCAAAAAATCATAATTCAGAATGTTAACAACACAAGGGGAATTTTGAATGGCTTTTGCATCATTGAAAAGTTGAGTGTTATTTATGATGCCCACGACAATCTCTTTTAAAGAAGGAAATTCAAACTAATGAAAGCGTATCCAGGGCTGAATACGCCATTCTCATCTCGAATCATTGAGAAATGACATTAACATGTATATACAATACATGTATTAATAATTAAATGAAAAGAATATTTTTATGGAATTCAAAGAATGTCAATAAGCTGAATAAGTATTGAAAAATGTTTTCATTTATGTCAAATTACTCAATCTAACCTAAACTTTCATAAAATTCAAATTGAGAATCTGTCATCTAACCACCAAGATATAGAAATAATATTAATTTGACATAATTGAAGTGGCATGTGTAACATTATAAAAGGTACCCGCTACTAGCCATGTGGCTGAGTTATTTCGATATATTTGTCATATTGAGAGTGAGTATGTTATGTAACATTATGGGGAAGTTACAAAGCATGCCAATTGGATTTCATTTATATCAAATTATCTAATAAAATCCATTCTGAACAGATTTCAATATAACTTAACATTTGAACTTCACAACATCACAATGAATAATTGATACATACATGTAAGTCATAAGTAAAAAATAAATCTTGTATAATCTGTAAAGAATAATCAAAAAAAATTATTGTATGCAAATATTACACAAGGAGGGAGGGAAGTGATTCTGCTTATTTTGTTTTTTTCATTTTGAAAACTGCCACTGGTCCATTTGATGTCCCAGATGGTGAATTCAATGCTGGAAAATAATGAGGCCTAAACAGAGCCAATTTTTCATTTTACGAGTTTAATGAGTTTAATCGTTCAAAAGTTGTCAGGTGCTTCCAACAGGTTGATGAGATTCTGGTAATCAATGAACAATCAGACACCAATGAGACAATAGGATTCCTGCACTGTTAATTGATACCTGTTGTGACAGACAGATACAACATGTGCACTGACTGGCCCAAGTATCATATTAACTTCTGTTTAGTCTATTTGTAGTTTTCATCAAATGAATTTACACTCAAACTTTCATCAGCAGACAAGATCAAAAAACATGAAAGGCACAAATGGTAACATAATGAAAACAATATCAACACCACACAAACAATATTGTAGCATCAAGACATTTATTTAAGAATTATTTAAGATAGAGACTTGGAAATCAGAATGATTTTACATCATTATTTAATGCAGATGTGTCCTGACTCAGTATATGGAATTATCTTCCTTCTTTCGAAATGTGACGGAAATCTCAAACTTTCCAAGTAACAAAAAAAGACTTCTGGATCAAATATAGATGAGGTAATACTAGAATAAAGACAAATTGAAACTACCAGTCCCATAGCCAGGGATGACTTGAAGCCCCATCCAATATCTCTCCAAAACATGTTGATCTACCATTTATAAAATGAATTTTATTTCAAAATTTTCCAACATTTTTGACGAAAGCTATGCAAAATAAAAATTTAACTTATTCCCTGAAAATTGAAAAAGGAACTGACTACAAGAATGAAAGCTGACTACAGGAATGAAAACAGTTCCTCATATGATAACTCAAGTCATCTTATAGACACAGGATGTGTGTAAGATACAATACAAGTGTAAACATCCTCTTTAGCTAGGAGATTCATATTACAAGACCACCATACATGTAGATTATAAATATACTTGAATCCTATCTATACTGAACATCACATTCCACTAAGGGGTCAGATCAAAACAAAGAATTCATTCAAAAGATGTAAGAGATTAGTTGGGGTGGGAAGCTTCATGTTAAACGATGACATCTCATTTCTTCTCAGCCCTGAGATGTTTCAGGTGAAACAGAAAGATGCTATGGGTATCAGAATGTAGGGAAGAAGGATGTAAGAGTTCTGGAGGCCTGTGTTCAGAGGATGGGGGTGGGGTGGGGTGGTGGTATTGATTTCTCATAGCCTCATATTCCTGGTGAAAACAAGTTGAATTTTCATTAAGAGGGAGGGGATAAGTCAAAACAATATTTTTTTATGGATGTTGATTTATTGACTTAACCCCTGACACAAGCATTTATTTTTATTTCAGCAAAATTTGAGAACACAGCATTCCAAATGTTGTAACTAATCATATCATATGCTTGTAAGTTCAGTGTTTAGTCTTGTAAGAGCCTACAGTAGTAGACTAAACTTCTCTAGGATTATGTAACCTGAGGTGATGATAAAAATAATGTTCAATTATAGCCTGCTTCATACTCATATTGTTCCCATGGGTACTGAAAAGATACAAGCTCATTTCTTAAGGAAATTGTCATTGAAACCCAACATTAATATGTATATCATGGTATGGAAATACAATGTACAATGTACTATATAATGTATCATACTGTTAAACCAGTGCATTCCTTCAGTCAAATGCAATATCTTGAAGGATCAAGATGATAATGTATTCAAAACTCTATTGCCCTGACAGGTCTGATTTTCTGCATTAACAGCAAAGTTTCTTCCCATGACAAACTGATTAGATATTAGTTAGTAGGGGGGATATTTCTCCCATATCATATCCCTAGTGATATTTCATCATTAGTTATTCTCTCCATCTATCATGTCTATTTCAATGTTGAGGGTATTTAACATGATGCAACATAAGCAAGCCTGTTGATATTTTCCAGAAATTTGATTCTTTTAAAATTCCTGAAAAAATTAGTTTAGTTTTCAAGTCTATACCAGCCATCATGTACACATTTCCTAACTCAGCTTGAGTTGGTATGTATGTCAGCCTTGTCAGGTAGGGAAAAGTTCTTGACACAAAACTAATTATTTATATTTATTGCAGCTTGTTAATTTTCCTGTAGGGAAATCTGCAATTTTTAAGCAGCTTTGCCCTATGCACCCTGTCCTCCTTTGTTTTGGCTGCATGGATTAAGATGCCCCATCATGATAATCCATGGCAGCTCCTTCCTTCTCAACCCTTTTCAATAATTTGAATTTGATAATGTACTAGGCTCTGACCCTCAGGAATTCCTTCTCATACCATTTGCAATAATCTAGTTACAAGCCTCTGTGACTCCCCCCCCCCTCCTCTACTTGATTAAACACCTTCTTGTTGTAGTGGGGGGGGGGGTCACAAAGCCGTGTAGCATGACTACCTTTGCAAAGATTTCACTTTGCATTTTCCAAGTTTTTTTTATGATTATTATGAGGATTTATTGCCAAATGAATAACCTATAAAAACTTTGCATATTGAATGAGAGTAAGAATTTTACTGCTAGCCTAAGGACTTCTAGGTATCTTTCCCTTTCGTGTTCAAAAAGATGTGATGAGAATTAAAATAAAAAATGATAGTTTGAGGTGTTTATCAATTTCAAACCCATGATTTGAATAAACTGAAAGATTTCAAAATGAATTCCTAAATCTGGACACCTTTATGACTAATAAACCAAAATACTATAATCAAATTAAATGAATTAAATAAAGCAACAATATTCTGGCTTTAATGCTGTAGCCAACATTCCATGCTTTCAATCAATTTTTGAAAATGTCTTTATCACTCTTTTTCTACTTAATTTTCAATGAAATTACTAATTTCATGGTATTTCCATACAATTTTGAGTGTGAACTACATTACTGTTTATATTATTCCTTGCTAGTTACTCTCTTTTCCTCTTAACTTCAATTCTAAAACAAGACTGCCATGACATTTTTGGCAAGAGAAGATAAGAGGCACACCTGGATGTCATTGATCTGAATCAGCCAGATATACGTGGCGACCATAACACAACCAGACCATGTTAAATAAACACCATGTGTAGCTGGATACATTCACCAGAATTAATCCTATTTTCTAGTATTATCTCTTTGTTTATAGCACATACCTGGCTTTAATATAAATTAATCAAAGTGTCAATAATGAATATAATTAGATTCATAACATTTTCTGTTTATCTGTAAATGTTAATAATATATGGCACACTTCATAACAAGGTTTCTGGGTTGCAATATTGAATTTCTCACAGAAGTGTTCCCACCTGGTAATTGTAACTTGAAATCATAATAGAGTACCAGGGATTTAGCCCAGGAATCGAGGGCAGATCTGGAAACTGACATCAAGGCCAGGGGGCACCAAAAATCTACTTTGTCAAAATGTACTTCTTTGAAATTTCGAGGGTTACAATTTGTAATCCTTAACATAAGGACCACATGACCAATGGGGGAGGGGGCAGGCCTTATCAGGGGTTGGTGAACTACTCATTTTTTAGCTCTTCATGCTTCTATTCTTTCATAATTTAAACTCAAGCCCAGAGTTTTATGGCAAAATCAATGTTTTTAAGATAAAAGAGGCAAAATGATGTTTTTCTAATGTTGTTCACATTTTTTACCTTCACAGCCTTGGTGGCATTGATGCCTGGATAGGTCATGATTGTTTAAACCTACCATACACCCATCTTCCATCAAGGTGATTTATATTATATGACTTGAATACATTCGGAACATGTATCACATACACCTGCCCCAGAGTGTCAGCGCATAGTTGTATGAGTTATACGATAGATGTAGATGATGTTTACCACTGGAAAGAGTAACCTAACTCTGCTCATTATACGGATAATATATAGAGATGTCAGAATGATATATCATATTCATGATTTTCCACTTTTAATTATACAGAACCCATTTGTAGATGTTCATCTGTTGAAAATGTCAAAAACCTTGAACTCAACATGACTGTATATTAAAGTTTATAAATACAATCGACCAATTTGCTCTCAATCAGACGGAAAACATTATATTTCATGAAAAGTTGTCTGAAAAGAAGATCTACTATTTCTCCCAATTATGATGGTGGTCAATGAGTCAGATGAATCTCACTTTTATCTTAGGAGACAGCTACAAATTAGAACCTCAACCCTTGAAAGGAAATTCATTCCATGATACACATACAGTGAAATCCATAAACAACATACAATAAAAACATAAATAATCCCATAATGTTAAAATTTCTACCAACTGTGTCATAAGTTGAATAAAAATGAATGAAAATGTGTGACATTTCATGTGCCATAGTATTTTATTTCTTCCCTTCAATTTGCAAGAGCCAAGGAGTAATGATATCCAGTAAACACATGATAAAGGGCAATGAAATTTATATGGCTAGGATGTCCACACAAGGCAAGACTATATAGATAAATCATTGGTTTCAATAGACATACAATTTAGAGTCCGACAAGCTCATGTGAAGGCTATAATTATATAAATTACCAAAAAGTTGACTGTTGGGAGCACCTTTATACACTTTGATGTAGATATGGCCTTAAAGAAAAAGTTTCAGTGACATGTGACCTCCACCTCTCCACACCTGAACCTTAGCTCGTATCTGCCCTAGGTCATGCAACTAGCTTATTTAAAATTCAGATTTTTGCTTTTTCCTTACCATAGGTTAAAATTGTAATTTTTGTCGCATCTAAATTATCCCATTCTGCAAGTTCTAGAAATTTCGAAAATCCAATTTAAACATTTCAAGTACTTTTTGGTATCAAGGGTGACATCTATTAATATGTTAAAAAATCATTTTCATACAACACACCTAATTTTATTTCAACTACTTGTGATAACTCAAATATATGATTGGATTATATGGTATATATCACAAACAAACAAATAAACAAACAAAAAGCAAACAAACAAACAAACAAACAAAATGTGTTATATCACTTCAATGCTTCTGAACCTGTCCTAATAGGCCTAACACATATTAGATGTAAGTATTAGATATTTCAGCACCTACCTTCCACCATGAGATGACATGCAGTTTTAACTGAGCCCTCAGAGTTGGTCAATGTACAAGAGTACTCCCCATCATCAGCACTGGACAGTGACTTGACATTCAACCAGCACGTCTCACCATCATAGGTCATCTGGTAGTGCTGGAATTACACAAGGGCGGGTGAATAAAATGAATATGTTGAACCATTTAACATTCTAGTAAGCCTTATTTATCATTTATTAGACAGAGGGTAACAAGGTCTTGAAGCAAACCTATAATCAGATCAATTGAATTCATAAAATGTGTGTACTACAGTGCATTGGGAGGGGGGTCGATATTGTAAGATCGAGGCAGGTATTAAGACACTCCAATGTGCCATAGAATAAGAGGCCATAAAAAAAATATACACACCCTCAAAAACATTGATAACCCTAACTTCCCTGGATAGCATGTTAAATCCTATGTATATTTGAATTTTTTTTTTCTCATTTACATTAGGTTGAACATTTACATCTTTGATATTCATCTTAAAATCACCAAACATAAAAAGGCTTGTAGTCTAATAAGGAGTTTGTGTTGTCCAACTTTTGTACTGGAGTGTATATGTTGTTGACAAAATGGGATAGTTTCAGAAGCATACCTTGAACAATAAAATTCTATGAAAATGAAAATAAAATTTTATGCTCTCAAGAGTATGTTGACAAACAAAACAAAATATCCTCACTACTTATCACCCCCCCCCCCCGTCATTTCCTCATAACATACTCATATAGTAGTTATACAAGGGTACCTATACTAGTATGCCATCTATATGTGGAATGTTTTTACATATTCACTTCCATTAGTCAGGAGATAAGAATTATCTTTCCTTTTATGTTTTAAGATCACAAGTTTATGTTTATGCAAACACAAGATACGGTTAATGCCCCAAAGTGTTGAACTGACATACAGTATAATAATATTCTGTATTATGAACACTGTCTTGTACATACACTTTATACAATCCTCTTCATAAGTTTGGTTGGTTAATTGTGAATATCACAATTCTGATTGGATAGCTGAATTTTGATTGACTGAGATTGATTTACCTATTTTAGATAAAATGATCATCTCATATTCAGAGACATCTCCCATTTTCAAGACTCCAAGATCCAGATATATTTTTCTCTTTCGGGAAGATGGAGGTACAGATTCTGTACACCTGATTAGGAGGAGGATTCGGAGAGTGGAGATGAAGATCGACAAATCAAACCCTGGAAAAGGGTAATTCTTTGACAGAGTTTATTGTTAACAGAAAACCAAATGGGATCTTATGTGCAACAAGTGAAATCTTACAAGTGATGTTTCCTCTCTAGAACAACAAAAACAAGCAATTGTTGCCAGAAATACATCTGTATACATGTTCCTTGATTTAAATAAAATAATAGTTACTCTTACATCATCATTTGATATTTCTTTTCCATCCTTGAGCCATGTGACGTCTGGTTTAGGTGTTCCTCTTAAAAGTTTAGTTTCGAAAGTTATGGAGCCTCCCTCACTTGCAGTCTTATCTCTTAGTTTACGTAAAAGTGCCGGCTTTTCCGGAGTTGGTTCTCTGGCAGACCTATAAACATCCAACAATGATTGCATTCATTATTTTCTATCCATGAGTCTATCCAGACATTACATTTGAAGGTGATGGGTGGCAAACCAAAATCTGCTCAATATTTTTCATCAAAATACAAGTATTCAGAGTTAATTGTTGTTTCTGCCTACCTTTTAAAATAGGAATTCTTTTGAGAAAAATAGCTATATACTTTCAGATACAGAAACTTCCAAACAGAGAACATATTAATAAAGTTAAGTCCAAAATATTTTTTCTTTAAAAAACCTAAAGACAATTTAATCTATTTAAAGTAATAATTCATGTCATACTTTTAAGATAAATTAGAAAACGGATTTGCAGCATAGGGCTGCTAAAGGATTCATGGATTTTGCCACATACAGGTAATAGAAGAAACACGTTACCTGGCAGATCTGTATGTTGATCTATACTGAGAGGACATCTCTTCACCTTGCTCATTAGATTCAACTTCTGTATCGTTTCCTGTACCTGCACCTGCAAATATATAATACAATGCACATCATTGAAGCCCTCATTTATTTGACACTGAAACAAAGTGCTGGTAACAAAATTGGAAAATTGCAACGGATGCAAATAACTTGACAAATGTAAGAAAAGTTCCTTAGGTGATTGGTTATTATTCAGCTGAATATCTTGGGGAGGAGGAGGTTGAGAAAGCCAGACATCAACCACTACCGAATTAACATGTCACATACTCGTCCAACTGGGTTTTGCTTTTACTTTTAGAGTTTGAGATGTGTTCACATTGAAATGTTCTCAAAATACAGGTGTTTAAGGGACATCAAAACTTTGATGAAAAAGTTAGTTTAAAAATACATATATGCATGATACAATTTCATGAAGTATGAAGCTAACATGTTACAAATAATTAGATCAACCATTCAATAAATAGAATTATTCACAAGGAGATCATGAGCAATTTGAAAAAATTGTCTCTTGTCTATAAGTAAAGATCCCAAATCCTTCAATATTAGCAAGGAAATGAGGTATCATACTATGGGATTAACAGATAGGAGTCTGGATTAGACTATAGACATATCTTTTTGTCAATGATTAGATGGTTGATCCTAGATTTGAAATTTGAAAAATTAAACCAAGTCACAAACTGCCATCTATACTCAAGATACATTAAAACAAAAACACATCATAGTAAAACCTGTTTTTGTTTTGTGTTTTTTTACTTAAGAAAGAAAGTAACTCCTCTTATTCCATAGTTAGCATGATATTCATAGGATAACATGTGAAAATAAAAACGGTATTTTTGTAATCAGTGGTAAAATATGATATTTTTGACAAATTTTCACTTAACCATAGCATACGGTTTTTTAGCCATGACATACGACGTCGTATGCGATGGTTTATGGATTTTTGCTACTTCAGACTCAAAACGAGGCTAAGTGTCAACATCGCCGGATCGTTTGGAAAATTCGAATTAAATGACTTAATTTCCGACGATTCTGATGATGACTTTAACTATGGAATAAAAAGAACATCCTATGATTTACTCGTAATATGATTTTAATCCACTTGTGGTTATTGATATCTGCACTCTCTCGCTACGCTCGCTCGTGCAGATATCATATCCATTCGTGGATAAAAATCATATCACTCATAGATCATAGGATATCCTCTATTTATCAGTGTTGAAACAATAGAGCGATAAGTGTTTTCATCGTTGTGGTTAACTATAAGTCCTCGAAATGAGACCCGAAAAAGTGTTTACATTTTAGGTGTTCATATTACAAGATGTTCTTTTTAGAGAGATGTTCATTTCCTTAGGCTATATTCATATTGTACTCTACATGGTGACCGCCACAAACCCTGAAAGCATCTGTGACACAGCAACAAATCTTCACAATAGATTCCATGACAGTTTTAACTCTGATTGTTAACATCTCTACATGTATGGTCTAATTAGATGTAACAAATGTGAGCAACAGTGTGTTCCTGAATGACCAAATATAGCAATATTTTCTTTATGAATGTCGAGGTTATAAATGTTTTTTTTTAATTAATAGCATGTACCTAGTTCTTCATATGTTTTCAATTAATCTAATAATATAATGTAGGATAAGGATCAAAAGGAGACATTAAAATGCAATTAATTAGCTATAACTCAAACTGATGGTGATTTTATTTTATTTTAATGCTTCAAAGAGTGTTATTTTGAAATAAAGAATTCAGAATCGGTCACATCTGTATTGGAAATCACAAGCTTGGCTGGGTTTGCAGATCCATTAAGATTAACCACAAGAATAGGAGCAAATATGAGATATTCTTGAAACGTATATTCTGTTCCAAAATAAAAGCAAAATATAATAGCAAAAGAATTTGCAAAATATAAACATGAAGTAAATTGTCTATCATGTCTACACATAGCAATTCCGTTCTAATATAAACATTGCTAAAATACATCTAAGTCTACAACAATAAATGTTGAGAAACTAGAGCTATTCTCTGGCAAGGATATGGTATATCAAATCTAAACTAGTTAACTCTTGCAGACTTTAATTCTGTTTTGTCTTGTTGACCAAAACACATTCCCTTTCCTATGGTTCATAAATAGCTCTTAAGTAAAAAAGAAACAGGTCAATATACTATACCAATCCAATTTTAGCCCATCAATTACAATGTACTAGACATCTTTTTATTGAATTAAGAATTTTTATGTAATAATATTTGTGGATAGAGTAAGACACTAGAGTAGTGAATTGACCATTATCCATATAAGTTTCATGAATAAACACAAAGAACTGAACATACACTGTACTTGAAATAATCAAGCAGATTTAGATAATTAGTATTCAATTAATTCCTATATCTAATATTCTCTATATTTGTATCATTATCAAGGCAAAGTACTCAATTGGACTTGTTAAATATATAAGACTTATCTCTGTAATATTGACAAGATCAACATAACACTCTCTATAGATATAGTTGATTTTGATACCTTACATATTCAGTGTTCATCCAACGATTTTGCTCAACTGGGTACAGAATTCTTGTTGCGCTGTATCAAAGAAATGTCCAAAATCTCAATTTCAACTCAAAAACTCTCAATCCCTCATGACTTTTCAAAATCTCAAAGAGGTTAAAATGAATTTTCAACTGGGTGAAAGGTGAATTTCAAATTCTCAATTGGGTGCAACATTCTTCCTTCAATTCTGGTAAGATTATTGAATGAGTTTTATTGTGAACTCAAAATAATAATTTCAAGACGGTTCAGCATCGAAGATTCACTCATTCATTTGAAATACCAAGATAAGTTCAAACGGAAGTTATACCGACGGAGAAAACTATTTCAAACCTTATATGCAGGGGGCTAACTACTTTTCCCAGCCTGCATTTCCAGAAAACATCACTCAAGTTGTAATAGAGCTAACAATATGTCATATTTTTGAAGGCTATTTTTTATTTTGAATATTAAGAAATAACAATACGACATGACATCTTGACTCATCTTTGGCATTTGATTTCGTTGAAAGTCAATAAAGCTTAGTATGACACGATGAGATAATTGAAAAAGTATCTCAACAATTCTTTGCTATTTAATTTTGGCATTTCTGTTTCTAATTTAAGATTTGTTATGACTTAGTCATATTTTCGTTTTGTTTTAACATGGGCATTCAATAGAAAGCCCATGGTTTTATTGAATTGTTTTATTGTGGACCAATAGGTGGCACTGTGAGTATGTCAGTCTGTATCATTTGCACTACACAGCCTAATGAGTAACGACCCCAACACCTATTATTAAAAGTATCAAATTTAATCTCATATAACACTGTATAATGTATGGTAGCTCAGATAGACATTGAATATTTGGTTAGCTGGCTACAACAACCTGACCTTGAGTTTTAGGGTCAAGTAATCTCAATGGCAGCCATGATTCCAGCAAAATAAGATATGACACATGCACGTAGAGATTTTATTGAAACATTCTTAGTAAGTTTCCTAATCTTGAGGTCCTTAGAGATTCTTTATAAATAATGTGTCAAACTATCCAATAGCTCTAATAAAATCGTCAACTTGTTGCTCAAAGCACATCATTTACGATAGCATTCCTTCCTTTTATGTTATTTGTTTTTTCAATGGATCTAATTTAATCTATCACGACAGGTTTTAATCAAATGTGAAGTATACATGTACAGTGTATAAAAAATTTCAGATTTATAAGCAAAATCAGAGACAGACAACATCACATTTCTACATCTTAAATATCCGCCTATAGTAAATAACATACCATGGATCTTTACCCATACTGTAATATATTTGGAAATGTTAAAATCATATTGGTTGAGATTTTTATTTTCCACCCACACTCTCCCCATATGACAGATTCTCCCTTTAAACTGGTTATATGGTACCCCTAACATTCGTTTCTCTTAGCTTCTTAAAAAAATAGCTTCATCTACATTTAGATTTGCTCATTTCCTCTGAAGTCACCATTTTCCCAGTTCTGACCTATTATGTTAAACATTGGTTCGATTTGTGACACGGGCTGTGATGCTCACCAGTAGTGTGAGCAGGGGTGAACAGTAAAATTGTCTTACCTAACCAGAGTATGCAAGCCTTTGCACTCAGGGTAGTCAAATGGTAAATTTACATCGTGATATAATGTCTTGCACATATGTGTGACATGCATAGCTTCATGTTATGTGACAATAGAGTTTAATTATTACACCCTACAGACAAATAACTGCTTACTTGTAAGTTAAGTTGACATCGACATTTAACTTTATTCATAATAAGATTGAGTTACCCTTCTTGAGATATTAACCTGACCTTTACTCTAAATAATAGATGATTCTTTGATTAGTCTCAATTTATGAGATCGAGGAATCATGACACTATATTTTCTGCCGATTAGCAAATAAATATCAGCTCATAATCAATTCTACATTTCAACTTGTTAAAATCGAATCAGCATCAAAATGATAAAATCAGTAATAGTAAGAGGGTAAGGTTGCTTTCTAAAGGAAACCCAGGGTAAGATTGAGATTTGTCTTGAAGTAGGCAAACCTAATAAGTCTTTATACATTTTGAAGTTACAAGAAAACCATCCCATTCAAAATTAAAAACAATGCATAGATGTCATAACTAAGTCAACCTAAATCATTCTCAGGGAGTTCAAATGTTATCCATTAATATAAATATTGACATAGAATAACTTTGTGTATAAACACACTGCCAATTTTTCTAACTAGTTATAAGATTGGGACCTTGTACAATTAATGAAATTTGGTTTTACATGTTTTTTTTTATGTAAATCTGGTTAATGACTCTAAGGACAAAATGGTAATGAACATAAACAAATGATGTAGGTATATGGCTCAAAGTTAACCCAATGGGCCAAACCAATACCCAACATGTAACACAATTGTCGTTTTCTTTTAAGCAATTTTGAAACCTATTTTCTTTAACAATACGAGTATGATGATAAATCACATTTTCAAAGTCACCTTTGAAATGTGTGTCTGCCTATAAACTATTCCATAAAATTTGAATGTTTTCTACCCTTAATTGTTTTCACTTCTATTTTCAGATTATGTTAATTTTTAAGGGAGGCTTGATTACACAAATATGACTTTGAAAATAAATTTTGGACTTTTGGTTAAGACTCGGATTGAGATGCATCTTGAATTATGCACTACCTGAATACATGTACTAGCATGGATACCATGCTGGTCTGTATTTATTAATAAAGTTGGGAGATTTATTGAAACATGTACCTCTTGGTATGGTAGGACACCCTTCTCATAATATATGAATAAATTGAATTGGATTTATTTGAATGAGGGGCCCAGAGATAACAAAGGTTGACTAACCTGTAGATTCAGTGACTTCTAGAGTGGTTGATACAATGCTCTCTCCCTCAGAGTTTTTTGCCACACAAGCATAGAGCCCAGTGTCAGCTTGTGTAGATCTCTTAATCTCTAAAATACGACTGCCGTTTCTCTCAGTCTCGAGGTGGATTCTGTCACTCTCCTCAACCTGCAATCATGCAAGTGTAAAATATTAAGCAATAGTCAGATTTCAATCAGGTGTGGCACATTAAGCAATAGTCAGTTTGCAATCATACAAGAATGAGACATTAAGCAATAGTCAGTTTGCAATAACCCAGATGCGAGTAGAAATAATCTTGATTTACATCATTAAAAATCCAAAATTCAGTCAAAGTAATATCATATTTGAAATCTACATGTAAAATTACATCTAGAAATGTGGTTTTAAAAAGTGTTAATCAACTTTGAAAAATTAATTTTCTTTGAAAATGTGACTTCTAGCTCGGGGAGATTCCCCATAGACCCCATGCTATAAAATCACAAAAATGAAATATCTTTTCTTTTAGTGAACAGATAATATTTTGCTTTGCTGGACATATTTTCATTAGTATAAGTATCAGACACATAAGGGTTATATGAAAATTGAGCCACTTAAATTGATAATATTCAAGTTTAAGGGAACTTTCTTATATACCTGCCATGTTAATTGACCCGAATCAGCCACCTGGTGGTGAAACTGGTAACTACCTACTCGCATTTGGGTAATAATTATATAAGAATGAGAGATTAAGCAATAGTCAGTTTGCAATCATACAGGTATGACACAATGAGCAATAGTGAGTTTGTAATCCCACATTTGCAAGACTCAATATAAAGATGAAGCGAAATACCCTTAACCTCATCTTAGATTACCGCCTATGAAGTTTTCATTTTTGAGGGTGCACTGGGTATTTGTAAGGGGGATTTGTAGTTTGCGTGTAAAACTGAGTTGGCAAATGTCCTCAATCACCTTAAACCAAACTAATATATACAATCTGAAAACTGTTCAAAACATGTAATTATTTCTCCCTTTTACTTTGACATTGGAAAACACCTTGTTTTCATTAACAAAGTTGTTAAGATATAAAGAGGAGGTTGTGCATATTTCATATGTACTTCATTGGTATATTCCTTCTATTATTTCATGAATTTGGTGAGGCCACATTGACTTTGGTCTCGCCACCTCCTCTAGGGAGAAAATCTTGTCTGTCTGCGGTTTAATGTATCACTTCATGAAATATTTACGTTGGATATCTTATTGAATGGTAGACCTACCTTTGCGTGTGTTCCTTTGGAGGACATATACATGTGTGTCTTTTTCAGTTTTACACCCAACTCATACAATGTTCACCTACCTTAGCATGGTGTACTTATAATCCCTGAGGTGACATATAATTTCAAAGAACATGCATTTGAAATTAAAGTAAGCTGTACATGCATAAAATACATCAAGTTCTACACTAATGTCTCTTAAAATTCAAAAAGTATGCTCGAATTTCTATCCAATTTTATGGATTGACAACTCACTTGTTCACAGGTTCCATGTTAAATTCATGTCATAATTTATCCACTCTTTCTTGAATTTGAAAATGTGTCCATCATGACAGTTATGCACGGGCCTACACGGGCATTAATTGAATTTTTTAAAAACCGATGAACTTGAAATATTATACTTACTTCTTTCTTATCAAATTGGTCTAATCCTTTGCTTTGCTCGTAAACCAGTAGTTCTATGCTCTAAGTACGTCTTTTCAAATTGAGTTAAATCCAAATGCTTTAGTGAAAGTCGAGCAGTGCTATTCAACAATGAGTAACCTGTGCACACTGTCAATACAACCAAAAACTTCTCAAATAAAAAGTAAACATGTTTTGAACTAAACTATCAGGTCAAACCAGAAATATTTCATTTCAAAGGGCGCAATTTTAACTTGAAAGAAAAAAGAATGATTTTATAAAATTAAATGAAAACAAGTGAACAATTTCTTTCATAATTTATAAATAATTAATTATTCATGATCAGAAGTTCAATATTTGAGGACAAGTATATCATGAAAAACCACCAACCTGGAACATGCCCAACCACAAAAATATATGAAACCCTCTAACCCTAGACAGTCACAACGGAAGGGTTTACTGTGTGTTCTCATGCAGACAAAAGAGCAGACTGTTCACTGCTGGATGAGTTTTCCATTTATAAATGGATCTTCTTCAGAGGTTTTATTTCATCTTTGCCTGCATCTTCCATAAAGGAATTTAATTTGATTTCATTAAGAATGAACAGGAATGTAAGATTAACTAAATGTTCAAAAGGAGGGTGTTTTGTTTTCCAAGTAGAAGTTTCACTGTTCTATTACTCTGACTAGGAGCAACCATTTGTCAGTTTGCCATTCAACAAATCAGAGAGCAGAATATGTTAATGATTCAATGGAGAATGTGCTGAGAAGGAGTGTTCATTAGACACAGATGTTTACTAGAGAAATATGTTCACTAAGACAGGATTAACTATCCTGTCTTAGTGAACATATTTCTCTAGTAAACATCTGTGTATAATGAGCACTCCTTCTCAGCACATTCTCCATTGACTTCAGTATGGAATTGCCTCTGTAGTGAACACAAACTCACAATGAACACATTTTTGTGGTTTCATGGGTGTTCGCTGAACACAGGTGTTACTGTACATATAGAAATCACCATGGCTGAGCAATGGCAGGGTCTGATTGGTTCAGTAAGTTCAGAGATTTATCAATAGTCTTCAGAGAGGAAGATGACATCAATCCCTCTTGCAAAGAGTACTTTTCACAAGAATATTTACAACATGTATTTCCATACAACATTATCTGGGTCTAAGTTGAAACTATTTGGAATTTGAATTCATAAGTTATTTTCAAGTGGCTGACATTTATATGGTCAGATCAACATGTCACATGTACCTCAGGAATACAACAGTTCAAGAGGCACCAAAATGGGAAAGGGACAAGAGAGGTTAAAGTGACAGAAACAGGCAAACTGAACAGTAAATTTGTGTGACAAAAAATGATGAACACTAATTTTGGTAAATCTGATTATCATCAAAAGGATTCCACCAAAATGTAGCTAGGCTAACCCTCTGAAACTATTCTTGGTCCAAGGGTATTTCACTTCTTTCCATAAATTGAGCAATAAATGAAGTCCTTTGTATGAATACCCTTTGCATTCGTTTGACTTCACTTCTTAAAAGAGAGCTTCGTCTTCACTCTTTCAAACTAAAAAAACCCGTGAACTCAGTGTTTGTCAGCCAGTGTTTGTCAGCCAAATTTGACCGACGTTCTTTATATGGTCATTCCTTCTGACGTCATCGTTGAGCCGAGAATTGACCAATGACATGCGCATAAACAATTAGAACGCGTATGTTTCTTCAAGCTCGCTGATTGGTGGAAGGTCAACGCGTAGGTCAAAAGTGATTTACCCAAACTGTCACCGGTACCCGTCGTGGGGGCGGGGCTACTAAACTGTAATATGGTCTCTACTAGGCAGAGTGTAGTTTAACTAGACTCTGCACGCAGGGTATTGTATGAAGGATGCTATGAAACCTTATATTGGCTTTCTGTGAATCTCCAATTTATTAATGAAATAATGTAAAATATGCAGAGTTCTTTTGTCACATTTATGGCCATGAACTTTAAGTGAATGATGTAATATTATACTAGGCACACCTGATTAGAATTCCCCACATTGGAAGCCCCAGATATTTATGTACTCTCAACAAGTTAATGTTTACATGTACAGGGCAAATATCAATTTAAAATTGATTGATCAACATTTTTAATATTATTGAAAACTTCAACTAACATAGAATGAGGAAATAGATAAACTCGTCCCACTAGCTACAGTGATGGAAATGGGATGGGGGCAATAATTCAGTTTAGTGCTTAAACCTTTTTTCAAAACGGGTGCCATAAACATTATTAAAATGACCCAAGTGGGAACAATTTTGAATATATATTTATTTTGAAACTCCTCCTTGTCAAATTCAAGTTTGCTCCTAAATTTCTATTTACTACTATAAACCATACCTTCCTCAATATGTACCCTCTTAGAATAAAGACTAGTTATCCAAAGGAATTGAAATGGTGTAACTTTCAATAGCTTTTAAAAAACCATTATGCAACAAACATTAAAATTATATAGCCTTTCTAGACATAATAAAAGTCAGTTTACTTTTATTTATGAGACGTGTAATTTCTACAATTTTATCAATTTAAGTTCTCCCTTTCTGAAGAGTCAAACTGGAGTTTAAAAGCCCTACAAACCAGAAGAAAAGTTTACTTACGTGCACTCCAATCCTAGAATATTTCCACTTGTTTTCACTTTGGCTAAGCTTGATTCATTCATTCAGTAACATACCCAATTAATCAAAATAAAATAAAGACAGCTTAGTGGTTTTCCAATTTAACTTTTAATGGCAGCAACATATACAGGGCCTTATTAGCAGATTGTCAGCCTCTGAATCTAACTTGCAACATCCCACTGACATACCACTAAATACTCTGATCCTGTCACTTTGTCACCCTTCCCTCTGATTATTACAGATAACTTTATAGTTTTGATGCTCATATGATCTTAATGAGCTCAAATGTAGCTTTCACCATAAGGGAATTTGAATATTTATTGAGTGCAGCTTATGCGAGTTAAATGTAGTGCCATGTTGTAGTTTGTAGTGCAAAATATAGTGCTGGCTACATATTCTGATTTAACTGGAGTGTAGTGAAAGTCTAGCCTTTTAAAAGGGTAACCACTAAACATCAAAATACAGGAATTTAGAAAATCATTATTTCCTTCTAATGATGTTACTGTGTATCAATTCCTAATATTTGTCATATTTAGGAAGCAATCCTTTACAATTATCCCTGATCATGTTTTTCTATGTCACAAGTGTATGTCATCTTAGTTCATTAACATCTGTAGAATTCTCTATTGGTTTCTTAGTTCCTCTTTTCACCAATTAAATTCTTAATTCTGTTGTGACCGATCAATTTTTATTCACTTGTTCCATAATCTATTAAACTCATTTATTTCAGCCTCTATTCACTCATTCTGTCCTCTGTTCACTCATTCTATCCTCTGTTCACTCAATCTGTCCTCTGTTCACTCATTCTGTCCTCTGTTCACTCATTCTGTCCTCTGTTCACTCATTCTGTCCTCTATTCACTCATTCTGTCCTCTATTCACTCATTCCATCCTCTGTTCATCAATTACATCATCTGTCCAGGCACTCAATTCATTATTTGTCCACTCGTTTCATCCTCTGTTCACTGATAACAACCCCTGTTCACCCATTTCATCCTCTGTTCACTGGAATCATCCTCTGTTCATCAACTAATTTCACCCTCTGTTCATAGATTCTATCCTCTATTCACTCATTTCATTCTCTGTTCACTAATATTATTATCTGTTCACTGATTGATTTTATCCTCTATTCACTCATTTTATCCTCTATTCTCATTTTATCCTCTATTCACTCATTTTATCCTCTATTCGCTCATTTTATGCTCTATTCACTCATTTCATTCTCTGTTTATTCATTTCATCCTCTGTTCACTCATTTAATCCTCAGATTACTATTTCATCCTCAGTTCACTTACTACATCCTCTGTTCATATTATATGCTCTTCAACACTGTTCAATTTTAAATTTGTTTGTTCATTTTTTAAACAAATCTACCTGATATAACAATATTTACTGAGTTTCACCAAGTGTTTAAACAAGAAGTGTGTATGATATCTGAAATTTCCAGGGACACTGTTTACTTAAAGGTACACATCTAGCTAAGATCTGGAATATCTTGTTTAAAGATTTTCCATGTGTTTTCTCATCCTAAAAGTACTTCAAAGGCTGAACCATATCAAATGCAATAAATTAAGTATTGTTTAGTTTACATGAGGGGGAGGGGGAGAGAAGGGTGTCACACATAGAGCCCACATGGCCAGCCCCTATGTACCCCCCCCCCTACTTAACGATGAAAATGTCTTGATGAAAAGTTGAGTGTCATCTATCTAACTGAGAATTTGTTATCAGAAATTGATTTCTAATTTTATAAATATTCAAAAGAAGATTTCTACATAACTATGAGGACCAAAACCAAACTTTTTCTTTTGACCTTATCCTACCTTTTCTTATGCAGCCTAAGTGATCATATATTACTGTTACATTCTGTTTAGTATGCGCTGTCAGTGACAAATTAGCCCTCCAGATATTTCCAGGCACTCCACAGTGTGACTGTGCAAGACAACATAATATAATGTACCCTTTATGAGAGTTTGACTTTATAGACACTCTTGATATACTTTCATCTAACCTACTAGTATATCCATTCAGAATACGAAGTCACACAATCACTATATCAAATTGTCTGCCAATAAGTAATTAATGTTCATTTATCATTTCAATTTCAAATCACAAATGATGATAGTACATTTGAGATTATTGATTATAAAGACCTTATTAGCATCAAAATTCCAGTCAGAGGGTAGAGTGGATATATGGTATAACCCAGGGTAATGCATGAAAGAGACAACACAGATTCCTAATTAATAATATCATTCTTGATTCCAAAGACAAAGATTAATGCAAAATGAAAGCCATTTCCAATGTTGGTGGTAAGTTGATCACAAAGGAATGTTGTAAAATGCTTAAAGCAAATTCAAAATATTTCTGACCTTTTAAAAATTATGCATCATCTTAAATTTTTAGGCTATCTATATGTGCTACTTTAGATGCTTATACAATTGATGCTCACAAACATCTTAAAGGACATCTTGGAACAGTA